CGGCCGCAGGTGGAGGTGTGGACCATGACTACAGATACCAAGCCTGGACCATCCCCAACGTCCCCCGTATTCCCCGAATCGGAGTCCAAACCGAGCTATAGACCAGTTTCCCAACAGGAAAGCCAAGCCAATTACCTCTGTTACCTCCATCGAGAAATAGAAGCCGCCCAGAAGCGAATCCTTGAGCTAAGATCTCAGAGCCTTGCCTCTGCAGACACCGAGCGGAGAAGGAGTTCTCTCCAAACCAGGCCCCAACCCGGCCCAACAGTAACCAGGACTGAACCCAGCCCAACAGTAACCAGGCCTGAACCTGGCACAATGGTAACCAGGCCTGAACCTGGCCCAATAGTAACCAGGCCCGAACCTGGCCCAAAGGTAACCAGGCCCGAACCAGGCCCAAAGGTAACCAGGACTGAACCAGGCCCAACAGTAATCAGGTCCGTACTAGGCCCAAGAGTAAGACGTCGGGTTTGGCACCCAGAAAGTGAATCGGAATATCGGTGCCAGCTCCACCAAGAGATGGAGGCCCGTAACCGGTCAGTGTCTCCAGAGATGTTCCAACAGACTGATCTTTTCCCTGGTGAAAGGAGGAGCTCCCTCCAAATGGTACCCAGAGAAGAGCCAAAGCAGCCTGTTCTGCAGGAGATCCTGGCCCACCAGGCACCTTGTAACCAATTCCCAACGTCGCACCGAGGCTCCTTGTTGAAAGAGGCTGAGCGGCGGAGGACGCTTCCGACCGTTCTTGAAACAGCCCACCAATATGCCCTCCGATCTGAGTCACCGCCAAATATCCACCAGCACTGCTTCCAGACAGAACAGCGGCCCTCCAGTCGCTCCGAAAGCGAGCCAGGATACCGATGCCTCCTTCACCAAGCGTTGGAGGCCGAGCACAGGCGTTTGTTCACCCCCGAGGCCAAAGACAGGTCACGGGACCCGGCTTGGATAGGCGGCATGAACACAGCGACCCAAACGGAGCCGTATCAAGAGCCCAAGATAACCCCCCGGACCAAGACCCCAAGTCCAAGACCGTTGCAATATCCAGAGATTGCTGTGGACCGTGATTCGTTACCGCCGAGAGGATTGGGGAAGTTCGGGCCTCACTCAACTTGGTGGCCTTTACTCCAAGAAGATCTCAATTCACCATGGACGTCACCAAGACAGGAGTTGATGGAGCAATGGAGGGAGAGAAGCAGGAGTCTACCAGCTCCGGATTGGATGGAGAAGGACGAGAGTCAACCCACGTCGGAGTGGACTGAGAGGAGTCTGAGTTTGCCGGCCGTGGACTGGATGGAGAGGAGCACGCCGGACTGGACGGAGATGCCGTCCTGCTCGTTGTCGCCGAACATAATGGAGGACACCTCGGCCTCGCCGGCAGCATCCGAGATCGCCCTGGACGCTCCGCTTGGCTTAAGGGACAACCTGTCTCCATCATCGCCCCCCATTGAGCGCCCGTTCATCCAGGATCATAGGAAGCAGAGGCTTGAGTGCGAGGGTCCCAGCCACGAAGCCGACAACCTCCTCACGCCTTTGAAGGGGAAGCCGGCCGACAGGTTCAGTGCTTTCTTTGTGGGTACGTTCTGAGTCTCTGAGCCACGCTCGGTGAGGAGGCTGGGTTTCTTCCAAAGGCTAAAATAGACTATCAGATACGAGAAATTAACTTGCAACCCAAACGATCATGCTCTCAATTCAGTGGTTTCCCAGTTACATGGGGAAAATCACACATCGAAGGAGCTCTCCATGGTGAGGAACTCTTACAAAAGTACATTCAGCACCACGGCGAGCTCTTGCAAAGCCAGCCAGAGCTTGAATTCACAGTTGTTCCTCCTCCATGTTGGTTGTCTCCCATTGGGCATACTACTGAACATTGTAGGCATTTCCAGCGCCACTCATGGCCGCCAAAAGTCGCTCCTTTGATAGGTTTGCTCTTACCCACATGTTTTCTATCTCTGCATCATTGCATTTATGGCAATCGAGGTGTCCTTATAAGATTCAGAATCATAGATAATGTTGCCTAGAATCACATTGGCCTTTTGAGCTGCCGCACCACACTCTTGACTCTTGTTCAGTTTCTAGGACTCCTAGACTCTCTTTCCCATGTTCTGTTTTTCAAGCCAATTTCCTTCCTTTCCCAGATGTCTCAGATTCGATGAACACAGACATCCTCTGGTGGCTGAAAGGTGGGTACGTTTCGGAGGCCGGGGCGGAACGGGGTGGAGTAGATGGCTTTTGGAGTCTCCTCCAGCCCTCTGGGTCCCATTTCTGGTGGCTGTTCCTCCAACTGATCTCTCTCTTTCTTTGTTCTTCTGGCTGCTTCCTGAATCGGGTGGTTGGTTTGGTTGGAACTGGACCATTTCTGGCAATTTGCAGATGAAGAGGTGAGTCAGGAAGCAGCTCCAATCTTTCCCAGCATTTTTTATTTCATTTGGAGTGATTGATGAGCCCTTCCTTCGTTTCCCTTCCACCTTCCTTCCACCTCCCTTCCTTTACTCTTTCCTTCCTCTTTCCTTCTGTCTCTCCTTCCTTCCTCCCTTCTCTTTCTTCTTTCCTTCCTTTTCTCCTCCCTTCCTCTTTACTTCTTTCTTTCTTTGCTCTTTCCTTCTCTCCTTTTGTCCTTCTCTCCTCTTTCCTCCTTCCTTTCTTCTCTCTCTTCTTTCTCTCCTTACTTTCTTCTTCCCTCCCTCCTCTCCTTACTCTTTCCTTCTCTTCTTCCTCTTTCCTTCCTTCCCTCCTTCCTTCCTCTTTCTTTCCTTCTCTTTCTTCTTTCTCTCCTTACTTCCTTTTCCCTCCTTCCTCTCCTTACTCTTTCCTCTCTTTCTTTCCTCTTTCCTTCTTCCTCCTTCCTTCCTTTCTTCCTTCTCTCTTCTTTCTCTCCTTCCCTCCTTTTTTCCCTCCCTCCTCTCCTTCTCTTTTCCTCCTTCTTCTCTTCCTTCTTCCCTCCCTCCTCTCCTCTTCTTTCCTTCTCTTCTTCCTCTTTCCTTCCTTCCCTCCTTCCTCCCTCTTCCTTTTTCTCTCCTTCCCTTTCTTTTCCCTCCTCCTCTCTCTTCCTTTCTTTCCTTCTCTTCCTCTTTCCTTCCTTCTTCCTTCCTCTTTTCCTTTCTTTTCTTTTCCTTTCTTTCCTTTTTTTCCTTTCTCTTTCTTCCTTTCCTCTTCCTTTCTTCTCTCCTTTTCCCCTTTCCCCTTTCTTTTCCCCTCCTTCCTTCTCTTCCTTCATTTCTCTTTCCTCCCTTCTTCTCTTCTTCTTTCTCTCCTTCTTTCCTTTCCCCCTCTTCTTCTCCCTTTCTTCTTTCTCTCTCTTCCTCTTTCCTTCCTTTCCCTCCTTTTCCCTTCTTTTTCTCCTTCTTTCTTCTCTCTTCCTTTCTCCTTTCCTCCCTCCCTCTTTCTTTCTTTCTTTCTTTCCCTTCCTTCCTTCCCTCCTTACTTTCTCTTTCCCTCCCTCCTTCTTTCTCTCTTACTTATTTCCTTTCTTTTCTACTTCCTCTCTCTTTCTTTCCTTCTCTTCTTCCTCTTTCCTTCCTTCCTCTTTACTTTTTTCTCTCCTTCCTTCTCTCCTTACTTCTCTCCCTTCCTCTTTCTTTCTTTCTCTCCTACCTTTCCTCTTTCCCTTCCTTTTCTCCTTCCTTCCTACCTTCTCTCCTTCCTCTTTCCTCCCTTCTTTCCTTCTTTCCCCCTTTCCTTCCATTCTTCCTTCAGAGATTCCTAGCAGAGTGAAGCACCTCCTTATTAAGCATTCCTTTCCAATTGGAACATCCCTGTGCGTTTGGTCTTTGCTGAGCCTTCAGCACCTCGGAGAGCTCCCCGGAAGCCTTTCTGGCGCTCTGCACATGCTCAGGGGCGCCGTGTCCTCCGTCACGCAGGCGGGGGGGGGGGAGGAGGAGGAAAGGGGGCGGAGTTTGGGCAGGTCACGTGATCCCCGGCGCCCTCCAGCCGCTGAATCCGGAGCCGAGGGCGACGCAGGGAGTCGCCGGGCCGCCCTTCCCTGGCATGGTAAGCCCGGATCCGGAGTGACTCCGCTTCTCTCCCCACCCTGCTCCCAGTGCCACCTCTTTCTTTTACCTCCAGCCTCTGGGAAAAGCCTCATCCGCGCATGCGCAGCAATTGCTCCCCTTTTGCTGGGGGGGGGGGCTTCCTTTGCCTCCCATGCAACCGGGGCTACTTTAGGGACACGCCAGCCCTGCAGAGTAGGCCACACACACACACACACAGAATGACCCTCGCAAGGTCAGCCCCACCGAGACCCACGCTTCTCCACCTTCTGCGTTATTATGGGCGCAGCCACACGGGAAACTTAGCGCACTTTTATACCGCTCCCTGCAATGCGAGGAATTTTTTTTTAGAAGAAGGCCTTTCATACTCTAGTTTGGCATCGCTTGAATGGCAATGACTCAATGCTATTGGACATGGGAGTTGTAGTTTGGAAAGGTCTTCTTGGCGGGCCTCTAGAATGGATGCAGTGTGGCCCAGTCGCGGCTATGGGAGTTGTAGTTTAGCCCAGTCATGGCTGTGGGAGTTGTAGTTGGATCCAGTCGTGGCTGTGGGAGTTGTAATTCGGCCCGGTTGCGGCTGTGGGAGTTGTAGTTTGGTCCAGTCATGGCTGTGGGAGTTGTAGTTCGTCCCAATCATGGCTGTGGGAGTTATAGTTCAGCCCAGCTGCAACTATGGGAGTTGTAGTTTGGCCTGGTTGCGGCTGCTTGAATTGTAGTTTGGCACAGTCATGGCTATAGGAATTGTAGTTTGGCCCACTCATGGCTATAGGAATTGTAATTTGGCTCAGTTGTGGCTATGGGAGTTGTAGTTTGGCCCAGTTGTGGCTATGGGAGTTGGTGGCAGCTGTGAGAGTTGTAGTTCAGCTCAGACGTGGCTATTGGAGTTGTAGTTTGGCCCATGGGAGTTGTAGTTTGGCCCATGGGAGTTGTAGTTTGGCTCATTCACAGCCATGGGTGTTGTAGTTTGGCCCAATCGTGTCTAAAATGTCATACTGAGAAGCCACACAATCCCCTATCTGCCTTTTGGAGGCCTCCGAATGACAGCAGTCCACGATTTTCGATCCCGGGATCCTCGTCGGGTCGTTGGCTGTGTCCTATTTTCCGAAGCATTCACCTCAGGGCAATGAGAAACACGGGCCCCATTCCCCCCTCCTTTGCCCCACTTCCGTCCCCTTTTAAATGGCCAGCCCTATAGCGAAACGTCCCATTTGCTGCATCAGAGGGAGAGAATGGCTTCGTCCCATTCGGAGCCGGCAGAAGATGAGCCAGAGGTACCGGGTGGGAAGGGTGGCGGGCGTTTGAGGCCTTTTCCAGAGATCCTTGCTGTCTCTTTAAGGGCTTGGGTTGGGAAACACTTTGGGAGTTTGTATAGGGAATAATTCACTTCTCAAACTATGGCATGCATATGATCTGATGTAAAGCACTGGTGATGACCTATAAGGCACTATAGGGTTCCATTTCGATGACCTATAAGGCCTTATAGGATTCAACTCCCATAGTTGTAAAATACTGGCGGTGATCTAGAGAGCCCTATAGGATGCTTTTTCTATTATGCATAGAGCCCTTGAGGATTCTTTTTTGATGACATATAGAGCCCTAGAGGATTATTTTCAATTACCTATAGGGCCCCATAGGATTCCATTTCGATGGCATATAGAGCCTTATAGGATTCTATTTTGATTACCTATAAGTTTCTTTAGGATTCAATTTTGTTGACCTATGGGGTCCTATAGGATTTCATTTTGATGATTTATAGGATCCTATAGGATTTCATTTCATTGACTTATAGAGCCCTATAGGACTACATTTTGATGACCCATAGAGCCTTATAGGATTCTTTTTTGATGATGTATAGAGCCTTATAGGATTCCATTTTGATGACCTATAGGTTTCTTTAGGATTCCATTTAGTCAAACTATAGGGTCCCATAGGATTCAATTTTATTGACCTACAGGATCCTATAGGATTACATTTCATTGACCTATAGGGTCCTATAGGATTCCGTTTTGATGATTTATAGCATCCTATAGCATTCCATTTCGTTGACCTGTAGAGCCCTTAGGACTATTTTTTGATGACCCATAGAGCCCTATAGGATTCTTTTTTGATTACGTATAGAACTTTATGGGATTCCATTTTGATGACCTATAGGTTTCTTTAGGATTCCATTTTGTTGACCTATGGGGTCCCATAGGATTCAATTTCATTGACCTACAGGGTCTGATAGGATTGCATTTCATTGACCTATAGGGTCCCATAGGATTCAATTTCATTGACCTATAGGGTCCTATAGGATTCCATTTCATCGACCTATATGGTCCCATAGGATTCAATTTAGTGGACCTATAGGGTCCTATAGAATTGCATTTCATTGACCTATAGGGCCCTATAAAATTCATTTTGATGACCTGTAGAGCCCTATAGGATTCTTTTTCGATGGCCTATAGAACCCAATAGGATTCTTTTTTTATGATCTCTAGAGCTCTATAGGACTCTAGAGCTCTATAGGAGTCAGTGCAAAGCACTGGCAATGATCTACAGAGCCCTATAGGATTCCATTTCAATGACCTATGGAGCCCTATAGGATTCAATGTACAGTGTCGGTGAGGAAAGAGCAATGGACCTGGGACCGTTTGATAAGCAGTCTCTTTGTCGCGGTCACTCCTGTTTCAGCGTGAAGCATTGGGATCCTTTCTTGGTTTCTCTTGAACCAACTCCCTCTTTTTGCCAAAACATTTCCTGTTCCTGGCAGAGAAGGGTTCCGGTTTTCATAAAGGAGGGTGAACCCAAGTCCAAATCCTGCCGAAATGTCCTGATAGCATTCGGCATATGGAAGAACTCCTTTTTCATAAAAAGCTTGCGAAATCTTGGACAGGATTCCCCGCCCCATGGATTCGGGTCAAAGATGGCAGGAATCCGCACGTCTTGGACAGACGTTGGAAGCTCCCCACGCAAGCCTGGATAATTTTGGGTACCGCCTTTGCGCTCTCAAAATATCCCATCTGTACAAAAGGATGAGTGATTTCACGATGGATTCCAATGAAACTTCGTTTGCCCTCCTTCTTCCTTTTGGGCCAATTCCTACGTGATCATGCCAGTCTTTAGTCTGGCTTCTCCTTGAGTTCAGGGACCTTTCTGGCCGGGATTTGCGACTGTTTATAGTCTCCAAAAGGATCCGTTTGGCAAATTGGGTCTCCTTTCCACTTGTTATTATCCGCCATTAATGAAAGGCTTCCCAGACACTGAATGGCACTGCTCAGATCTTGCAAATGTAGGACAGCTGTGGTTATCGTTGGGTTGAGAGAGTGCAACTCACTCAATGGGTTTCCCTGGTCTCCAGAGTTGTAGATTGATGCTCAAACCGTGGGCACCGTTAGCCCAAATCTGTCTCCACCAAGGCTTACTTACTTACTTACTTACTTACTTGCTTGCTTGGTTGCTTAGGCGATCCCTCGTAGTCCGAGGATGATGGTCCTCCAAGTGTAGTGTCCTGGCGGTGGATCTGTAGGTGACTGTGGAGCCCTATTCTTGACCCGCATCTTCTCCCACAGTGAGGGTATCGGTTACCAGGTGGGAGACGGTAACATTTCTCTCTTTCACCCTCCGTTCGTGCCTCTTCAAATTCTACAGCACTGCTGGTCACAGCTGACCTCCAACTGGAGTGCTCAAGGGCCAGGGCTTCCCAGTTCTCAGTGTCTATGCCAGAGTTTTTAAGGTTGGCTTTGAGCCCATCTTTAAATCTCTTTTCCTGTCCTCCAACATTTTGTTTTCCTTTCTTGAGTTTGGAATAGAGCAACTGCTTTGGGAGACGGTGGTCAGGCATCCGGACAACGTGGCCAGTCCAGCGGAGTTGATGGCGGAGGACAATCGCTTCAGTGCTGGTGGTCTTTGCTTCTTCCAGCACTCTAACATTTGTCCGCTTGTCTTCCCAAGACGTTTGCAGGATTTTTCGGAGGCAGCGCTGATGGAATCATTCCAGCAGTTGCATGTGCTCTTCTTCCTTTTGGGCCAATTCTTGCATGATCATGCCAGCCTTTAGTCTGGCTTCTCCTTGAGTTCAGGGACCTTTCTGGCTTGGATTTGCGACTGTTTATAGTCTCCAAAAGGATCCGTTTGGCAAATTGGGTCTCCTTGCCGCTTGTTGTTATGATCTGCCATTAACGAAAGGCTTCCCGGACACTAAATGGCACTGCTCAGATCTTGCAAATGTAGGACAGTTGTGGCTATCATTGGGTTGAGAGAGTGCGACTCACTCAATGGGTTTCCCTGGTCTCCAGAGTTGTGGATTGACGCTCAAACCGTGGGCGTTGTTAACCCAAATCTGTCTCCGCCAAGGCTTACAAAGACATTATAACTATATGATCATCACAATCTTTCGTTGCATTTCGGCAACATCAGATCAAGGCCTTGACAACACTTAAATGGTATTGTATTTGAGGACTAGAAGCTTGACTGGATCTTGCGTCAGAAAGGCAGAAGGATAACATCCATGTGCTTTGGCCTGAAGCATCAACCAACCCCTCCAAGGTCAGAGAGATAGCAATTATGTAGATGTAATGAGTGATATTGATTAGTCTGGATGAGCAAAGCCTGGCTCCAGATGGTGCACAAAGGCCCAGCTCAAAGATACACTTCATCCTCTATCCAAATGTCGGAAGGAACTCCAAAGGCCATCCAGTCTGACCCCTTTCTGACGGAAAGACATGGTGCAAGTCCTCCTGACAGATCCATCAAAATCTCCCGAGAAGGTTTTATTCCACTGCCTACCATCTCTTCCCATCAGGAAGTTCTTCCTAATGTTTACTTGGAATCTCTTTTCCTGCCATTTGAATCCATTGGGGTAGCGGATTGCAACATGGCTCTCAAATCCCCTTCTCTTAACCTTCTCTTCTCCAAAAAAAAATTCCTCTGCAGGATTCATAGTTTGCTATTTATCTACTCATATTGCTCTTTTCGAAACTGCTAGGTAGGCAGAAGCTAGGCTAAACGCCAGGAGCTCACCCTGATCTGAGCTTCGAACTGTCAACCTTTCAGTTGACAAGATTTACTGCAGCAGGCAATTAACCTGCTGTGCTAAAGCCCAGCCATTCCTAGACCTTTGGCCATGTTTTGGCACTTTTTGCTTGTCCAATCCTTCTTCAATGGCCCAGACGTAGACATAGGCAATATTATCCCAACTGAGGTCTAACCAAAGCAAAACTGAGCTGGACTCGGATTTCCCTCTGTGGCTCTTATTGACGTAGCATAGAATCACATTGGCCTTTTTTGCCTCCACGTCACACTATTGCGATTTATTAAGACTCCTACTTCTCTTTCTCACGGATTGTTTTTAAGGCAAGTACCATCCACTCTTTATCTGTGCAATTCTGTTCTTTCTGCCTTACATTTCCTCCCTGTTGAAATCCCTGTTGTTAGTTAGTTTTGGATATCATTTTGGATTCAGATCCTGTCAATTGGAACAAAAACATATGTTGACGAATGCACCATATACAAATACAAACGTTGCTTGGTTGTCTCCAAGGGATGCTCTAGATGTATGTTGGGGTTTGTGCTGAGCGTCATTTGTCTTTTCTTTTTTCCTGTCCCTTCGGCTCCTTTCCTCCCTCCGTTTTGGCTCCATCCTTCTCACCCTTCTCCTATCCTGAATTCGAACACACACCCTGCCCTGTTTGTTTTGCCCCCTCCATCCTTGACGCAGGCGGCGGAAGTGGAGGGGACCTTGGAGCCCCCCGAAGATTTCCGAGAGAAGCCCCTTCCTCAAGCCCTCAGGGACTACTCTGGGGACCCCGAAGAGCCCCCCGAAATGCCGAGGGAGCACGCAGTAAGGCACACGCGGCGGAGTCAGCTCCCCCTCGGCAGATGCAGACCCCATTTATTCAATTTTTAGAATTTCCTCCCTATGTAGGACCCTCTTGAGTTTCCCTAGTTCCTCGCTGTGCCCTTGGGAGCTCTTCCACCTCTAGGATTCTAATATATATATAGTGAACTATGTTGTGGAGTCTCTTCTGGAGGTTGTTTAAGCTAAGACTAGATGGACATTTGTTGGGAAAGCTTTGTGCCTTTCTGCCCAGCAGAATGAGACTGGAATGGCTTTGCCTTTTGGCGACCCTTCCAGCTTTAGGATATACCTATCATATACATCTCATGGCTGGTCCATGAGGTCACGAAGAGTCGGAGACGACTGAACGAATGAACAACAACATACATCTCACTCAATTACATCGCTCATATCTATGGCCATCTGTCTTTGGTTAGATGGCCATCTATTGGGAGGATTGGATTGTGCCTTGTTTATGTGCTAAAACACATAATCATTTAAAAACACATAGATACATAGATAGATAGGTAGGTAGATTCAGACAGTTGGACTGGATGGCCTTTGGGGGACCCTTCCAACTCTAGGATATACCTATCATATGTTTCTCTCAATTATATCTCTCATATCTATGGCCATCAATCTTTGGTTGGATGGCCATCTGTCAGAAGGGATTGGATTGTGCCTTAGAGAGAGAGACATACACACATACATGAGTTTGGACTGGATGGCCTTTGGGGTCTCTTCCAGCACTAATAATAATAATAATAATAATAATAATAATAATAATAATAATTCTTGTCTGCCTCCTCACGGCTCAAGGTGAGTTACAACATGGCTAAAAGACGTAATCAGAACACATAATAAATAATTTAAAACACATAGATAGAGAGATAGATAGATAGATAGATAGATAGATAGATAGATAGATGATAGGTAGACACATACATATGTTCCTGTGGTTGGATTGGATGACCTTTGGGGATCCTTCCAGCTCTAGGATATATCAATCCCCTCTCTCTATTACATCATATCTATGACCATTTAGATAGGAATGGATGGATGGATAGATAGAATGATGGATGGATGGACAGAAGGTTAAATGGATAGGTGAATGGATATATAGAAGGATAGATGGATAGATAGGATAGAAGGATGGATGTATAAAAAGAACAGATGGATAGATGGAAGGATGGATGGATGGATAGAAGGAGAGATAGGAGGATAGATGGATGGATGAATGGGTAGATAGAAGGATAGATGGCTAGATAGAAGGACAGATAGAAGGATGGATGGATAGATCAATAGATAGATAGATAGATAGATAGATAGATAGACAGACAGACAGACACATACATACATTTCTTCTCTCTCTCTTTCTCCAGATCAAACGCTTCTTGAAGGACGACTCGGAAGAGGCAGAGCTGGTCCAGTTCCTCGGCGACCAACCTGCGGAGCAGACCTTCCGTCGCCCGGAGCCCAAACAGGAGGAAGACACCTGCAAGGGCCTTGGTCTCCATCGTGGGCCCCCCGAGATGTTCGCCGCCATGACGGGGGCCCGGCCCCTGCCCCAGGACGATGCTGTCACCATGGATGAGAAGGAGCCCAAAGCCTTCCACCGGCCACGGCCTCTTGATCTGAGGCAGCAACAACCACAGCAGCATATGGCTGCTCCGGCGCCACCTAGCCCTTCTCGGCCTCGGAGCCCTTGGGGAAGACTGGATCCGTACGATTCTGATGAGGTATGGCTACCCAGGATCACAGGGTTAGAAGAGACCACCAAAGGCCATCCAGTCCAACCCCATTCTGCCTAGCAGGAAGGCACAATCCAATCCCTCTTGATGGATGGCCATCCCACCAAATATAGATGGCTATAGATGTGATTGAGAAAGAGAGATATGATAGAAACATCCTAGAGCTGCAAGGGTCCCCCAAGGGTCATCCCATCCAACCCCATTCTGCCATAAAGGCAGGCACAATCCAATCGCTCCTGACAGATGACCATCCCACCAAAGATAGATGGCCATTGATGTGTGAAATGTAATTGAGAGAGGTGTATATGATAGATATATCCTAAAGCTGGAAGGGTCCCCTAAAGGTCATCTAGTCCAACCAAAGGTAGATGGCCACAGATGTAATTGAGAGAGAGATGATAGATATTAGGCATATGAAATAAATTAAAAATGGTTTGAAAGTACTTACACAATTGGGGGCCCCTGGCGCTTTGTTTCTAAAGTGTTTCTAATGTTTTGTTAGTGAAAATTTCAGTACTATAAGGAGACTAACGAAATTTCGTTACTATTTCATTACAGCAATTGCGCATGCGCATTAATGCAATAATACTACCATTAGGGAAATTTCAAGGGCTCTTTTCTCCCTCATTTTTAAAGCTATTGGAGCGAAACTTGCTATAATGGTAGAGCACATTTACCACTTTTAGCCCACCAAATTTCAGAACATTTCACTTAGCCACAGATCTTTGGGGAATTTTCAAAGTTTTTATAAACAACATTTTTTAAATAAAACTACAAGAGCTATCTCCTTGAATTTTATCTGCAATGCACAAGATCACCAGGGCATCGATCCCCAGAAGTTTCAGAAAGATTCACACATCTACAGAAAGAAAGATCTGATAGATATATCCTAGAGCTGGGAAGGTTCCCCCAAATGACATCCTTCCATTTGAATCCAGACTCCTATGTTGTAAATCCCATCCCTTTATGCGCTGAGCCACTCTTTCTTTTTATCCCCCTTCTCCCTCCTCAGGATGATAAGGAATATGTCGGGTTTGCCACTCTGCCCAACCAGGTCCATCGGAAGTCGGTCAAGAGGGGATTTGACTTCACGCTGATGGTTGCAGGTATATCAGAGATGGTGAACGCAAATAGTGGGAGGTTCTCGGAGTCTTAGTAGGACTTGGGTTGGACATGCGCCAAGAGTGCGATGCAGCAGCTCAAAAGGCCAATGTGATTCTGTTCCTTTTCCTTGTTTCTTTAAAAAAAATGAGGAAGTCTAGTTTCAGACTGTCTCTTCTTCCTCTTCTTCTTTCAGGAGAAGCCGGGCTGGGAAAATCGACTCTGGTGAACAGCCTCTTTCTTACGGATCTATACAAGGACCGTAAACTCTTAAATGCGGAAGGTAAGGCATCCTCCTGTAGAATTAGAAAGGTCCTCTCCACTGGACATCATCATGAAGATGACATTATGGGAGGCAGGGCCTCTCAGAGCTGGAGAAGGGAGAAAGTAGGTGGGCAGCAGTCACAATGACACTCCAATAACACAGAGTATATATGATGCTAATAATAATAATAATAATAATAATAATAATAATAATAATAATAATGGATGATCTGGACAGAAAAACAAGAAAACCGATGACAATCCACTACGCATTACACCCGTGTAGTGATGTCGACAGACTTTACCTGGCCAGAAAATCAGGAGGCAGAGAGAGGGCTTCTGCAAGTGAAACAAACTGTAGAAGAAGAGAAACACGCACTGGCAGATTATGTGAAAGGCAGTCACGAACCAAAATTGAGGAAAGTCAATAGTAGTAAACTGCTTAAAGTGCAAAAGACAAAGAGGGAATACCATGAAAACACAATCCAGAGCAGAAGAGAAAAGTGGCAAAAGAAGGCTCTTCATGGACATTTCCTGGGGAAAATGGAGAGCCAAATTGACAAAGAAAAAACATGGCTGTGGCTCACATTTGGAACTTTGAAAAAGGAGACAAAGGAGGGCCTGATTCTGGCAGCCCAAGAGCAAGCCATTCGAACCAATGCCGTCAAAGCCAGAATTGAAAAGTCGACAATAGATCTCAAATGTAGACTCTGCAAGGAAGCAGATGAAACAATAGATCCCATTCTCAGCTGCTGCAAGAAGATCGCACAGACAGACTACAAGCAGAGGCATAACACCGTTGCTCAGATGATTCATCGGAACTTGTGCCACAAAGACCATCTGTCTGCGACAAAGAAATGGTGGGATCACAAGCCGGAGAAAGTTACACAGAATGAACACGCTAAACTCCTCTGGGACTTCCAGATTCAGACAGAGTTTTGGAGCACAATACAGCTGACCTCACAATCGTGTTAAAAACAAAATATGGATTGTCGATGTCGCAATCCCAGGTGACAGCAGGATTGCAGAGAAACAACTGGAAAAGCTGACACGATATGAGGATTTAAAAATCGAACTGTAAATATTCTGGCACAAGCCAGTAAAGGTGGTCTCAGTGGTGATTGGCACACTGGGTGCAGTGGCTAAAGACCTTGTCCTGCACTTAAACACAATGGGTGCTGACAAAATTACCATCTGCCAGCTGCAAAAGGCCACCTTACTGGGATCTGCACGCATTATTCGCCGATACATCACACAGTCCTAGACACTTGGGAAGGGTCCGACGTGTGATCCAATACAACAGCCAGCAGAATGTCTGCTATGGACTCATCTTGTTGTGTTTTAAGTAATAATAATAATAATAATAATAGTGCCTTCCTGTCTGGCCGAATGAGTTTGGACTGGATAGCCTTCCAGCTCTAGGATATATCTATCATATGTTTATTTCTCAATTACATCTATCATATCTATGGCCAGGGAGAGTCGTGAGTTCCCACTGTTAGCCCCAGCTCCTGCCAATCTAGCAGTTCAAAAACATTCAAATGTGAGTAGATCAATAACTGCCTCTCAGGTGAGAAGGTAACGGTGCTCCATGCGAGTCATGCTGGCCACATGACCTTGGAGGTGTCTACGGACAATGCCAGCTCTTTGGCTTAGAAATGGAGATGAGCACCAACCCTCAGAGTCAGACACAACTGAACCTTTACCTTTACCTTATCTATGGCTATTGATCTTTGCTTGGATAGTCATCTGTCAGGAGGGATTAGATTGTGCCTTCCTGCTGGGCAGAATGGAGTTGGACTGCATGGCCTTTGGGGTAGCCTTCTACCTCTAGGATATATCTATCATATATCTCAACAGGGCAGTGAATGCATTCCAGGTTTCATCAAGTTTGGAAGGAGAGCATCTTCAATGCCTGGTTGAAAACCCAGAGTGGATCCATTGCTCCACTGACATGGGACCAATAGTTCAGAGCCTTAAAAATTCAGGCCTTCATTGGAGACCCCCTTTCCACATGATAATAATTCTTCCAGGAGTGGATTTCCCTTCCAAATGATAGCTTTCTTTCACTTCCTGTTGTCTTGCCCCTGTTCTTAACTGGGAGTCATTTGTAAGTGGTATGTTTGTAACTCGGGGATGGCCTATATGGGTTTAAGAAACATGAGATTCTACATCCTTCCCTCTTCTTTGTAGAACGGATCCTCCAGACAGTGGAGATCACCAAACATGTGGTGGACATTGAGGAGAAAGGCGTCAAGCTCCGCTTAACCATCGTGGACACGCCAGGCTTCGGAGATGCCGTCAACAACACCGAATGGTATGAGAAGAAGAGGAATTAGCCGCGGTGGATTTGCCGCAGAGCTATGGCGAGGGGGGAGGGAGGGACTTCGAGATGGGAATCCCATTAAGGCCTCCGTCTCTTCTGGGCCGGCGTGACCTTTGGACGCTGGCCAGGAGCTTGGATAAAAATACCTCACAAGCCACGGCGGGAAAATCCTGTCACTTCCCAGACTTACAGCTGCCTTTTAAAAAACCACTCTTTCCTTTGCTTTTTCAGCACCTTTCCCATGCCAGCAGTGTCAGTTCACTCAGGATTCTGGGATAAGCAGTCCAGCTTGGTCTAACGTTCTCAGTTTAACTCTCCATCCTTCCTTCTGTAGGTTAAGGACGGTCTTCTAGTCTGAAGACCTCAAACTGAATTGCATGTAACCAACTACTCTAGGCCGTTGATAGACTCCTATCTGCAGTCATTGTTTGGCTGCAGTGTCACATCTTTTCATAGACTCCAGTTGTGTCTTGGTTTCGATTCAGACCTTTTATAGACTCTGTGCTGCATCGTTGCTTGGTTTCTACTACAACACCTTTACATACCCTACTTACTCACTTACTTAGGCGATCCCTCGTTGTCCAAGTAGAATGGTGTTCCAGGGTCAGTGTGCAGTGTGTGGTGGGTCCATAGGTGACTGTGGAGCCCTATTCTTGATCTGCATCTTCTCCCGCAGTGAGGGCATTGGTTTCCAGGTGGAAGGAGGTCCTGGATAGGGTTGGCTTGACGTGCCTTCCTTTTAGCACCTTTCTCTCTTTCACCCTCCATTCATGCCTCTTCAAATCCTACAGTACTACTGGTCACAGCTGACCTCCCACTGGAGCGCTCAAGGGCCAGGGCTTTCTAGTTCTCAGTGTCTATGCCAGAGTTCTTAAGGTTGGCTTTGAGCCCATCGTTAAGTCTCTTTTCCTGCCAACCAACATTCTGTTTTCCTGTTTTCTGTTCTTGAGTTCGGAGTAGAGCAATTGCTTTGGGAGACAGTGGTCGGGCATCTGGACAACGTGGCCGGTCCAGCGGAGTTAATGGCGGAAGACCATTGCTTCAATGCTGGTGGTGTTTACTTCTTCCAGCACGCTGCGTCTTGCGGCCATACAGCAGGGTTGGGAGGACAATAGCTTTATAAACAAGCACCTTGGTATTCCTACGGATGTCCTGGTCCTCAAACACTCTCTGCTTCATTCAGAAAAAATGTTGCACTCACAGAGCTCAGACGGTGTTGTATTTTGGTGTCAACGTTGACTTTGGTGGAGAGGTGGCTGCCAAGGGAGCGGAAATGGTCAACATTTTCTAATGTTACACCATTAAGCTGCATCTCTGGCATTGGAGAGGGGTTGGCTGGTGATTGCTGGAAAAGCACTTTGGTTTTCTCGATGTTCAATGACAGGCTGAGCTTCTCGTATGCTTCTGTGAAAGTGTTTAGAGTGGCTTGTAGGTCTTCTTCTGAATGCGCACAGACGACATTGTCATCAGCATACTGGAGTTCTATAACAGATGTTGTAACCTTGGTTTTGGCTTTAAGTATCCTTGTCTCCAATCATTGTTTGGTTTCAATTCCAGACCTTTCCATAGACTCTTTGCTCCAGTCACTGGTTGGCGTCAATTCCATGCCTTTTCATAGTCTCTTGTCTCCAATCACTTGTCTCTTTCCGTTCCAGTAGTTTCAGTAGACTCTTATCTCCAATCACCAGTTGGTTTCTGTTCACATATTGATTCTCAAGTGAACCCAATCTATCAACAGGTTTTGCACATAGGTTGACTCATTGTTGATTCAAAAAGGTCTACTTCATTTGGGGCCAATCATAAAGTTTTGGGACAAACGTTTAAATATTCACCCTGCTTTTTCCAGCTGGAAGCCAGTGGCCGACTACATCGACCAGCAGTTTGAGCAATACTTCCGGGACGAAAGCGGCCTCAACCGGAAGAACATTCAGGACAACCGAGTGCATTGCTGCCTCTACTTCATCTCCCCTTTCGGACATGGGTATGGCTGGATCCCATCTGTGACACAATGTCTCTATTACAACACTTTCCCCCCTTCATCCCAAACAAACCCACCCACTTCCCAATTCATAAATGCACTGTGACAATTCAGTATTCCTTGTTCCCTACAAGAACAAAATGTACCAAGGTGAACATCCAAATTTTTCCAGGTTACGGCCCTTGGATGTGGAGTTCATGAAAGCACTCCACCAGCGGGTGAATATCGTGCCCGTCTTGGCCAAAGCAGACACCCTCATGCCCTCAGAGGTGGACCGGATGAAGAACAAGGTGAGGGAAGGAGGGATGGGGAGAAGAGAGCCCAAAAAATGAGATTCATGATTGAAGTTCTTCAGATGATTCAAGATCGAGGTTCTCCAGATGAGTTTACAGTTGCAGTTCTCCAGGTGACCTTAAGATTCAGGTTCTCCAGATGATTCAAGATTGACTTTCCAGATACCTTTAGGATTGAGGTTCTCTCCAGATGAGTTTACAGTTGAGGTTCTCCAAATGACTTTAGGACTGAAGTTCTCCAGATAATTTAATACTGATGTCCTAGATGACTTTAGGATTGAGGTTCTCCAGAGGATTTGACATTTCAGATGACTTTAGGGATGAGCTTCTCTTCAGATGGCTTTAGGATTGAGGTTCTCTCCAGATGAGTTTACAGTTGAGCTTCTCCAAATGACTTTAGGACTGAAGTTCTCCAGATTATTTAAGACTGATGTCCCAGATGACTTTAGGATTGAGGTTCTCCAGAGGATTTGACGCTTCAGATGACTTTAGGGATGAGCTTCTCTTCAGATGGCTTTAGGATTGTGGTTCTCTCCAGATGAGTTTACATTTGAGCTTCTCCAAATGACTTTAGGACTGAAGTTCTCCAGATTATTTAAGACTGATGGTCCAGATGACTTTAGGATTGAGGTTCTCCAGAAGATTTGACGTTTCAGATGACTTTAGGGATGAGCTTCTCACCAGATGACTTTAGGACTGAGGTCTCTTCAGATAACTTCAGACTTGAGGTTCTCCAGATCATTTCAGATGGAGGTTCTCTTCAGATGGGTTTACAGTTGAAGTTCTCTAGATGTTTTAAAATAATGTTCCAGATGATTTTATGATCGGGGTTCTCTCCAGATGACTTTAGAATTGAGGTTCTCCAGATCATTTCAGATTGGCATTCCAGATGATTTTATGATAGAGGTTCTCTCTAGATGACATTAAGATTCAGGTTCTCCAGATGATTCAGTATCAAGGTTTTCTGTGCAACCGGTTTATAACTGACTCCTTTCCCTTTTTCTGCAGATCCGGGATGAAATCGAACAGTTTGGGATCCGGATCTACCAGTTCCCTGATTGCGACTCAGACGAAGACGACGATTTCAAGCTGCAGGACCAGGAGCTCAAAGTAAGGTGGCCACAGAGGGGGGATTTCTCCTTTTCCTCCTTCTGAGCCTGAGGGAGGGTGGCTCATCCAAGGTTAAACCAATGGGTTTCCACAGCTGAGTAGGAATTCAGACCTAGGCTTCCTGAGTTACTGTCCAATGCTTATTGCAGTATGATCCCCCCCATTTATTTATTTATTTATTTATTGTGTTAGAAGCAAATTGAGAATATAGTTATACGGCTCTGGCCCAGCTTACTTATCCGAACGTATGTCTCTCTACGTTCCACCTCGTAATTTAAGATCTACTGGGGTGGCCCTGCTCTCGGTCCCACCAGCATATCAAACGCGTCTGGTGGGGACGAGGGACAGGGCCTTCTCAGTGGTGACCCCCCGCTTGTGGAATTCACTCCCCAGCAAGATTAGATCAGCGTCCTCCCTCCTTACTTTTAGGAAAAAACTAAAGACGTGGTTTTGGAGCCAGACCTTTGGCTAGTGGGCACAACAGCACTTTAGGCACTGAACTCGGAAAATTGGAAATGGCTTTATGACCTGTGATTCTGTGATCTGTTCTATGTGGTTATGTAATTTTAATTAATATCACTGCTTAATTGTTATGTAATGGATTTTATATTGCTGTTTTATATTGTTGTTTTGATACTGTTGGCATTGAATAGTTGCCTGTGTTAGCTGCCCTGAGTCCCCCCTCGGGGGTGAGAAGCGCCGGGTAGAAATGGTCTAAATAAATAAATAAATAAATAAATAGTTATAATGTATAAAAAACCACAAACAAAGTTAAAAACTTGGGATTATACTAAATGTCCTTTGACCAGTAGCTGGCCACTTGGAGTGCCTCTGGTGTTGCTATAAGAAGGTCCTCCCTTGTGCTTGTGGCAGGGCTCAGGCTACATTGCAGCAGGTGGTCTGTGGTTTGCTCTTCTCAACATTTGCATGTTGTGGACTCAACTTTGTGGCCCCATTTCTTAAGGTTGGCTCTGCATCTTGTGGTGCCAGAGCGCAGTCATTCCAAGTCGCCCTGTCTTCTGTGTGCCCAGAAGGGAGTCTCTCATCTGGTATCAGCCACTGATTCAGGGTCCAAATGATTCACATTTGGACTCTCTCTTGCTGAGGTGTACCTGCGAGTATCTCTGTAAATCTTAGGAAGCTGTTTCTTGATTTAAGCCATTGGCTTGCTGGCTGATATCCAAACAGAGGATGGGCCGGAGATGTCACTGCCTTGGTCCTTTCATTATTGGTTGCTACTTCCCGACGGATGTCAGGTGGTGCAATATTGGCTAAACATTATAATTTCAGTGGTGTAGTGCACTGACATCCTGTGATAATGTGGCATGTCTCATTAAGAGCCACAACCACTGTTTTAATGTGCTGAGATGTATTCCACACTGGGCATGTGTACTCAGCAGCAGTAGAAAAGTGCAATGGCAGATGTCTTCACGGTATCTGGTTGTGATCCCCAGGTTGTGCCAGTCAGCTTTTTTATGATATTGTTTCTAGCGACCACTTTTTGCTTGATAGTCAGGCAGTGCTTCTTGCAATTCAGAGCATGGTCCAGAATGACTCCCAGGTATTTGGGTGTGCTGCAATGCTCCAGTGGGATTCCTTCCCAGGTTATCCTCAGAGCTCAAGATGCTTGTCTGTTCTTAAGTTGAAAACACACATCTGCACTTTAGATGGATTAGGAATCAGATGGTTTGCCCTGTAATAGGCAGTAAGAGGACCTAAAGCTTTGGAGAGCTTCTGTTCAACCATTTCAAAGCTCCCTGCTTGAGCGGTGATGGCACGATCGTCAGCATAGATGGAACTCTCTGTTCCTTCTGGCAGTGGCTGGTCATTTGTGTCAATGTTATAGATGGAGCAAAGCATGCTCCCCTGAAGCAGGCCGTTCTTCTGTGTTTGCATCTGCTTCCCTGGCCCTGGAACTCCTATTTTGTAGTAGATTTCCTATGAAGTGGGTGAGGTGGTAGTGCTTTGCAATGACCCACTCTTATAGTTACACTATGTAACAAAATTTGAAAACTTTTTCTGTTCCTGGTTTTAAAATGTTATTTCCTGTTTAATTGTGTGGCCCGTACTTTGAAAGTTGTTGTTCTACTCCAGAAACTTCATTTTTGTGGCTGCCAGAAATGATGTTGAATTGGTTGAGACCCGTTGAAAGATTCATTGAAAAGCTATAGCAATATGTTCTGCAGGATGTCCTGCAAAAACAAAGTCTTTGCAGTTTAATAAACCCTTTCCATGTTTTTATAATAGAACCAATTAGGAAATGCCATTTATAACCCAGGAACAATAATCGTGTTTCATAGAATCATAGAATTATAGAGTTGGAAGAGACCTCATGGGCCATCCAGTCCAACTCCCTGTCATGAAGCAGGAATATTGCATTCAAATCACCCCTGACAGATGGCCACCCAGCCTCTGTTTAAAAGCTTCCAAAGAAGGAGCCTCCACCACACTCCGGGGCAGAGAGTTCCACTGCTGAATGGCTCTCACAGTCAGGAAGTTCTTCCTCATGTTCAGATGGAATCTCCTTTCTTGTAGTTTGAAGCCATTGTTCCGCGTCCTAGTCTCCAGGGCAACAGAGAACAAGCTTGCTCCCTCCTCCCTGTACCTTCCTCCCACATATTTATACATGGCTATCAATACTCCTCTCAGCCTTCTCTTCTTCAGGCTAAACATACCCAGCTCCTTAAGCCACTCCTCATACGGCATGTTCTTCAGACCCTTGATCATTTTAGTCGCCCTCCTCTGGACACATTCCAGCTTGTCAATATCTCTCTTCAATTGTGGTGCCCAGAATTGGACACAATATTCCAGGTGTGGTCTAACCAAGGCAGAATAGAGCATGGGGAGCATGCCTTCCCTGGATCTAGACACTAGACTCCTATTGATGCAGGCCATGGCATTATTACACCCATAGTAAGCCATGGCTTTGTTTTGCAGGAGAGCATCCCATTTGCCGTAATTGGCAGCAACACGGTCGTGGAGGCCAAAGGGAGACGCATCCGAGGCCGACTGTATCCATGGGGCGTCGTGGAAGGTATCTCACAAATTTCCTAAATTTATTTCATGTATATGTCACTTTGCATCTCATTGTTTTGTGACTTTCTGCTGATGGTTGAAGCCAACAGAACTGTGTCCTTCTAAGGATAAGAAAACCTTCACCACTGCTGTCACTCAGTGCTTAGTTCAGCACCTTGGAGAGCTCCATTGAAAGCCACCTAAGCCTGGAATGACTTGACTGACTCAAAGCCATTTTCTTCCTGTCTTGTGTTAATGCTCTGTTCTCCTTTCTCTAGTGGAAAACCCGGCCCATTGCGACTTTGTCAAGCTGCGCACCATGTTGGTGAGGACGCACATGCAGGACCTGAAGGACGTGACCCGGGAGACGCACTACGAAAACTACCGGGCCCAATGCATCCAGAGCATGACTCGGATGGTAGTCAAGGAGCGCAACCGGAAGTGAGTGAGGGAAAGAGTGGGGAGGTGGACATTGGATCATGGGCTCTGAGGGTTGGAAGGGCCATGTAGTCCCACCCCATTCTGTCATAACAGGAGACAATCCAATCCCTCTCGACAGATGCCCATCCAGCCTGTTAAAAATCCTTATAATAGAATCATAGATTTGGAAGGGAGCCCAAGAGCCATCCATTCCCACCCCCATTCTGTCATAAAAGAAGACACCATCCAATCCCTCTCGATAGATGGCCATCCAGCCTGTTAAAAATGCTTATAATACAATCATAGAGTTGGAAGGGACCCTAAGGGCCATCCATTCCCAGCCCATTCTGTCATAAAAAGAAGGCACAATCCAATCCCTCTCAACAGATGGCCATCCAGCTTTTAAAAAATCCTTATAATAGAATAATAGAGTTGGAAGCGACCCCAAGAGCCATCCATTCCCACCCCCATTCTGTCATAAAAGAAGATACCATCCGATCCCTCTCGACAGATGGCCATTGAGCCTGTTAAAAATCCTTATAATAGAATCATAGAGTTGGAAGGGAGCCCAAGAGCCATCCATTCCCACCCCCATTCGGTCATAAAAGAAGACACCATCCGATCCCTCTCGACAGATGGCCATTGAGCCTGTTAAAAATCCTTATAATAGAATCATAGAGTTGGAAGGGAGCCCAAGAGCCATCAATTCCCACCCCCATTCTGTCATAAAAGAAGACACCATCCGATCYGTCTYGACAGATGGCCATCCAGCCTGTTAAAAATCCTTATAATAGAATCATAGAGTTGGAAGGGAGCCCATGAGCCATCCATTCCCACCCCCATTCTGTCCTAAAAGAAAACACCATCCGATCTCTCTCAACAGATGGCCATCCAGCCTGTTAAAAATCCTTATAATAGAATCATACAGTTGGAAGGGACCCCAAGAGCCATCCATTCCCCCCCCCCAATTCGGTCATAAAAGAAGACACCATCCGATCTCTCTCAACAGATAGCCATCCAGCCTGTTAAAAATCCTTATAATAGAATCATAGCGTTGGAAGTGACCCCAAGAGCCATCCATTCCCACCCCATTCTGCATAAAAGAAGACACAATCCAATCCCTCCAGACAGATGGCCAGCCAGCCTCTGTTTATAAAATCATAGAACCCTAGATTTGGAGTCCTTCCAATCCAACCCCCTCCTGCCATAAGGGAAAACACAACCCGATTCTCCCCGACAGACAGCCACCTTTCTCTGGACCCCTTCCCTGGTGTCCGTCACGCTGTGGACTCATGCCCAGCTTGTGGTTTATGCAGAGCCCTTTCAGATTGGACTGTGGTCCAGCCAGGTGTTACCCAAGCTATAGGTCTGCATTGCGGCACAGAGTGTTAATCCAGGTGAGGTCTGCCCAAAGCAGAAAAGAGTGGGATGGTGGCTTCCTCTAGAGCAGGCGTGGGCAAACTTTGGCCCTCGGGTATTTTGGACTTCAACTCCCACAGGCTGTTAAGAATTGTGAGAGTCGAAGTCCAAAACACTTGGAGGGCCCAAGTTTGCCCATGCCTGCCCTAGACACTTGCGTCTGGTCGACTCCTGCATAGGGAAAGCGGGATTGTGGAACGGCGGAGGAGGCACCTGTAACCGTTTTGTTGCCTCCTCCGCATCGCAGGCATCAGCAAGGAAGCTGGATCGCCTGTTCTTAAGAGACCGCCGGAGGTTGAGGCGGCAGAGCCGAGCATCTGACCAGAAGGTTAGCACGGACCAGTCCCGGATTTCTTTTTCAATTTTCTCTCTTTTTTGCAATACAAAAATATATGAAGATTTTAAGGGCCTGTCTCCAGAGCCAGCCTCTGGAGTCGTGCTTCGCAGCAACGGAAATGAGTTTGCAACAGAAATAAATTTGGCAAAGTGGAAACCGTTGACTCTTACGTGGGTAGTGTTTTTGCAAAGGGCATCGCAATCCCGAAAGGTTCGTGGAGGGTTTTAGTTGCTATTCCTTATTTACAGTCAGGATCATAATTTTTCCAATTCCATATATATTTTCACTAGGCTCCTCATTTCAGTGGGGCAATTTCTCCGCTCCTGATTGCAGTCCGAACTTTATACAAATGGCTGCCCATTTTTCATTGGCAAGCATTAGTTCCAGGGTCAAAAACAGAAGAACAGCCTGCCTCAGGGGAGCACTGCCAAAAGGGACAGAGTTTAATCTATGCTGACGATCATGCCACCACTGCTCAAGCAGGGAACTTTGAAATGCTTGAACAGAAGCTCTCCAAAGCTTTAGGCGCTCTTACTGCCTATTTCAGGGAAAACCAGCTGATTCCTAATCCATCTAAAATGCAGACATGTGCCTTCCCTACCCTCTCTCTGTCTCCCCTCTTGAGTGTCTGGCATTGAAGCTAAGCTTGGTGTCTCTATTGTTTCTTTGTTCCACTTGCTGCCGGCCCCATTGGGCGGAAAGGAGGGACTCTTCGTCTCTAAGACTCTGTTGCAGCGACTGTTCAATGGAGTAGCCAGCCATCCCAGCCACGTCCCAGCATGCCCTCCTCCTTCCCCTTTCCTATTGCCTCCTGTGAATGGTTTCTCTGCATTTACATAAAACAACATTATATTCCCAATGATTTCAGTTGTCCTTTTTGGTCTCTTTGGTTGGTGGGAGACAGGGGTTCACATTTCCAAACAAGGGCTCCTGTACCTTTAATTGTGGCTTGATGGGGAGAGTTCAGGCACCATAACAGAGGTACCCTGGCTGACATTCTGTGTATTTAAAGTCTGGAAAGGAACAGGTAAAGATACTAAAGATAAAGATAAAGATACTAATAAAGGCACAGAAGCCCTGTAAAGATATTATTAAAGCACAGAAGCCATGTAATTATACTATTAAAGGCACAGAAGCCCTGTAAAGATACTATTAAAGGCACAGAAGCCCTGTAAAGATATTATTAAAGGCACAGAAGCCCTGTAAAGATACTATTAAAGGCACAGAAGCCCTGTAAAGATACTATTAAAGGCACAGACGCCCTGTAAAGATACTATTAAAGGCACAGAAGCCCTGTAAAGATATTATTAAAGGCACAGAAGCCCTGTAAAGATACTATTAAAGGCACAGAAGCCCTGTAAAGATACGATTAAAGGCACAGAAGCCCTGTAAAGATAATATTAAAGGCACAGAAGCCCTGTAAAGATACTATTAAAGGCACAGAATCCCTGTAAAGATACTATTAAAGGCACAGAAGCCCTTTAAAGATACTATTAAAGGCACAGAAGCCCTATAAATATGCTGTTAAAGGCACAGAAGCCCTATAAATATACTAGTAAAGGCACAAAATTTAGTTTTATTTATTTACGACATTTATATGCCGCCCTTCTCACCCCGAAGGGGACTCAGAGCAGCTTACAAGTAAAAAGTAAATACAATATATTATATTATTACCATAACACAATATTAATATTATATATTACACTGTACTATAACATTATACTGTAATATTATTAGTAATATTACATTTAATATAAAATATATAATTATAATATATTATTATTAGTATTATATTGTATTACATTATAATATTATCAATATTATATGTATGTACAATGTAAAAATATACTATTAAAGGCACAGATGCCCTATAAAGATACTATTAAAGGCACAGAAGCCCTGTAAAGATACTATTAAAGGCACAGAAGCCCTATAAAGATGCTGTTAAATGCACATAAGCCCTATAAAGATGCTGTTAAAGGCACAGAAGTTCTGTAAAAAGACTATTAAAGATACAGGAGTTCTATGAAGATGCTAATTAATGTCACAGAAGTCCTGTGAAAATACAATTAGAGGTACAAAAGTTCTATAAAGATGCTACTAAAGATGCAGGAGCCATGTAAAATGCTATTAAAGATACAGAGGCCCTACAAAGATGCTATTAAAGGTACAGAAACCCTATAAAGTTACTTGTAAAGGTACAGAAACCCCGGAAAGACACTATTAAAAGTCCAGAAACCCTGAAAAGACACCATTAAAGGTACAGGCGTTCTATAACAATACTATTAAAAGTCCTGTAAATACAATTTTAAAGGCATAGGAGCCCTGTAAAGGTACTGTTAAAGGCACAGAAGCTCTATAAAGACACCATTAGACATCCAGAAGCCCTGTTAAAGGTATAAAAGTTCTATAAATATGTTATTAAAAATACAGGAGCCCTGTAAAATGTTATTAAAGGTACAGAAACCCTGTAAAGATACTATTAAGGGCAAGGGGATTGCATAAAGATACTATTAAAGGTACAGGCCTTCTATAATGATACTAATAAATGTATAGAAGTCCTGGAAAGACACTATTAAAGGTCTAGAAGTCCTAAAAAGGTGCTACCAAAGGTGCAGAAGCCCTGTGAAGATATTATTACTAGGGATTGCTAGGTCCTTGAGAGGTATTTTGTGGTTGGAATGGTGAGGCATTCATATCATTGTATGGGGTGGGATGGTGAGAAATCCATAGCATTGTCCAACTGGAATGGTGACAAATCCGGATCATTTTTCGCCAGAGGTTGGCCATATACTCCCACTGGAGGATCCAGAAATAATGATTCAATGCTAACCAAGCTGGCCAATGGCAATGGCAACATTTACACTTGCCTCAAGCAGACAAGAGTTTTTTCTCCCACCCAGGACATTCCACAGATATATAAAACCCACTTGCCTAGTTTCCCACAGACCTCACAACCTCTGAGGATGCCTGCCATAGATGTGGACAGAATGTCAGGAAAGAGTGCTTCTGGAATATAGCCATACAGCTTGGAAACCTCACAGCAACCCAGTGATTCTGACCATGAAGGCCTTAAACAACACAGGAAATAACACTTTCACACCAGAACCAGATAATACAATTATGCCCATAAGTACAAAACATACTCCAACTGACCAATGGTGCGATTAAAGTATATCAAATGGCATTAAATGAAAATCCCAAAAGCTTTGGGAAAAGGGCAAGTTTTTAATAGAGATGTCAAAAGAGTGAGAGGAATAGCACTTTAAAGCTCAGACTCAATCCCATCCTACCGACACCAAAGGCACGTAAGACAACAGCCTCGCTGGATCGGGACCTATAGAAGAGCCAGGCCTTTCCTCCTTCACTCGGGAATCCCATAGAAGATCCTCTCACGTAGGTAAGTATTAATAGGGTGGCGTTTCGATGTTGGAAAGTAGCCGCCCGTAGGCAAAGACACGCTGAGCTCCCTCCGCTTTGCTGCGTTGCTCTTGAGTAGACCCAGCTCCCTTTATGCAGATGTGCCTTTGCTAGATCCTGGATCTGAAGGATTCTGGAGAGAGATGAGGCAGTCGCCGTGATCAAAACTAATGCTACAAATTGCAGGAAAAATGGTTGGGAAAGTTCCTTTGCTTGGATTGCGCCTCCCCAGAATCCCCCTTTCATTCAGGATCTGTAACTGGTGGGTTCTTTGCAAGATGCATTTTGCTGTATCTTACATTGCCATAGAAGCCTGTGGAACCTATGGCTGCAAGATGTTAGTGTCAGAACTCAGAAAACATTGCTATTAGAGCTCAATTTCCTGGAATGTTCCAAACAACATGAGCATCGTTGGATGCTAAGACCTGCAGTAAACATATTAGTAACTTTCCCAAACTCTTAATGGGTTGGGAGGACTATCACCAGTATATCATTATTACTATTGCTTTTGTTGTTGTTATTGTTTACATTAATGACAACCAGAAATAACTGTGACCGACAATTGGAACTGCAAGAGTTCAAATGGAAGCACAGCATTATAGGTATCCCAACGATAAAATATAATTACATTATATGTAGAATTAAATCCATCCATCTCTCTCTCCCTCCCTCTCTTTCTTTGGTTTTTGGTTTTTACTTTTGAGAATAGCAAACTCACCAGAGAAAGTGGGACAGACTTCCCCATCCCCGCCATGCCGCCGGTCCCGGACTCGGAAACGGAGAAGCTGATCCGGGAAAAGGATGAGGAGGTGAGATCTGGAAAAAGAATCCAGTGGAAAAATCAAGAAGGGAGGGTGAGAAATCAATATCTTAGTCCAGGTTGGGTTGGTGAGAAAATGATATCATTGTCGGGGGTTGCAAGGTGAGATGTCTATTCTCATTGTCCAGAGTGGGGTGGGGGGAACATCCATATTATTATCCTTAGTGGGATGGGGAGACATCCGTATTATCATCCTTAATGGAACGGGGAGACATCCATATTATTATACATAGTGGGATAGGAAAATGTTTATTTCATTGTCCAGAATGGGATGGGGAGATGTCTTTCTCATGGTCCAGAGTGGAATGGGAAGATGTCTATCTCATGGTCCAGAGTGGGATGGGAAGATGTCTATTTCATTGTCCAGAGTGGGATGGGGAGACATCCATATTATTATTCTTAGTGAGATGGGAAAACATCCATATTATGATCCTTAGTAGGATGGGGAGATGTCCATACTATTATCCTTAGTGAGATGGGGAGAAGCCCATATTATTATTCTTAGTGAGATGGAGAGACGTCCATATTATTATCCTTAGTGGGATGGGGACATGTCCATCTCATTGTCCAGAGAGGGATGGGGAAATATCCATATTATTATTCTTAGTGAGATGGAAAAATGTCCACATTATTATCCTTAGTAGGATGGGGAGATGTCCATATTATCATCCTTAGTGGGATGGGGAGATGTCCATATTATTATTCTTAGTGAGATGGAGAGACGTCCTTATTTTTATCATTAGTGGGATGGGGAGATGTCTATCTCATTGTCTGGAATGGGATGGGAAACATCTGTATTATTATCCTTAGTGGGATGGGGAGAGGTCCATCTCATGGTCCAGAGTGGGATGGAGCAATGTCCATATTATTATCCTTAGTGGGATGGGGAGATGTCCATAATATTATTCTTAGTGAGATGGAGAGACATCTGTATTATTATCCTTAGTGGGATGGGGAGATGTCCATCTTACTCTCCAGAGTGGGATGGGGAGACATCCATATTATTATCCTTAGTGGGATGGGGAGATGTCCATCTCATGGTCCAGAGTGGGATGGAGCAATGTCCATATTATTATCCTTAGTGGGATGGGGAGATGTCCATCTCATGGTCCAGCTGCCATGTGTCCAAACTCACCAGATCTCAAGGGCTGAGATTGATTAAACAAAGCAATAATCCCCTATTACAATAATAAAGTAATCACAAGAATATTCTTGTTCCCACAACAAACAGTAATATACAATGAAACATAAGTTTGTTATATTCACAGTACTGATTACTATTTCTTTCTTGTAGAAGGGAATTTCCAACCAAAGATTCTTTAAACAGATTTCCTCTTTAAAACTATAGTTTTTTTCTTTCTTTCTTGTAGAAGGAAATTTCCAACAAGTTTGCTATACACAGATTTTCCTCTATGCTTCCTTATGGAGAACTTGCACTTCCTTGTAGAGAACTTCCGGTTTTGACCTTGACAAAGTCTTCTTCAGGTGGAAAGGTCTGGCCAACTTGAAAGGTCTGGCCAACTAAATAGAGTTGTAGCATGCAGCTGTAGTACCACAAATCAAAGCGAAGAGTCCAATTAATACAGAGAAATCCAGTTGTACTTCAGGAGCAAGAATAGCCAAGACCACAGTTCAATAGTCAGACACCAAGAGTTCTTAGAGTAACGTTCCAGAATTCAACAGCACAAACCGAAGTCAGAGTTCCAAAGTCAAGCCAGATAGCCTGGGGACAAACTCCTGTCCTTAAATCAAAGCCAGGAAATTAGTCCAGAATTCGGACTCAAGGTTTCAAGATACAACCAGGTCCAAAACAGGGTTCCAGGGACAGCAGAGTTTAAAATTACAGGAACAAGGTCATGGTTCAGGATTCTAACCCGGGGTTGTAGAGCCAAGATCCTGGACAAGAGTGCCAAAGTACGACATTATTTGCTACCAAAGAGCTATCTCTTCCAGACCCTTTTTAATCCAGATTTCGGCTTCTGCTCAATTCAGGAAGCCTTAACAAGTCATTCCAGAATCCTGTGATGCTTTCCTGGGGGAGGAAACTGCTGGCCATGACAACAGGGTGGGATGGTGAGAAATCCATATCGTTGTGCCATCATGGGGAAAAGTAACGGCGCTCTGATGTAGAAAGCGGGTTGACCCATCAGATGGTAGCATCAGATCAAACTCCTCTCCCTGCTCAACCCTGACCCTCTCAGCTCTTTCTTCTCCTTTTCCAGTTGCGTCGGATGCAGGAAATGTTGCAGAAAATCCAGCAGCAGATGGAAGACACCCACTAGCCCTTTCTTACTTCTCAGTTGCCCGTCCTCCAACCTTCTCCATCTCTGGTCCTCTTTCTCACCCTCCTGCCTCGGAGACACACAATGTTTACATTTCTCATCCAGAACTTGACCTCATCCTGGCACCTCTGACTTGACGCTCCTCATAGAGATATATATATATAGCGAGAGAGAGAGAAAGAGAGAGAGATTATATACTCACACACATTGCTGCAACCATCGCCTTACAGCCAAAGTTGGCCGCGCTTTGCTGAAGAAACAAGACGCTCGCCCAAAGATTTGACCTGCGACTCCCAGCATGTGGGAATTCCGCCTTTCTGTTTTCTGGTTACCTGAAAGACGCCGTTGTGGCAATGAACATATTTCGGAGGATGTCTAATCAGTTGGGAAGGAGTTAGAGAAGGTAGAAAAGCTGGGAAAGGACAGAGCCAACTAGCAGTCCACCATTTCTGCCCGATGTTGATAGACCTTCCTTGGTAGCCACCATAGGGTTGGCTCTTTCAAAGGTGGCTCGGCTCTTTGAGAGATGAGAGGTCACCCTAAGCAAGGAGTTGAGGTCCAATGGGAGTGTCCCTAAAGTTGTGTATCCACGAATTGGGACATCAGTCCTTCAGAACCACCATCCATCCATGGTCCAGGCTTGGAAGATCACACCGCCATTGCAAGGCTAGCTGGAGGCCCCCAAAAGAGTACCTTCTCCAGTCGTTGGATCGTAATAATCTCCCACGAGTCCTGCTTATTGAGAAACCCCGAAAGCCATTCCTATCATTCAGGACGTTGGGGTTGCCAACACCGCCTTTCTGCTGTGCTCCTCTGCCTTGGGGCACTTTGACATATACTTGCCAGCTTTATTTTCCTAGCATGGAGAGGCATCTTCCCCCACTTCGTTTGCAGGTAAAATAGCTATTACTATACAGGAGTGACAATAGATTGGGGTGTATATTTGAATAATCCCCTCTGCAATATTATAGCGTAACATGCCTTTAAAATACTCTCCCTTTTTATTCTTCGAGGTTGGTTATTGCCCCCCCCCCGAAATCCTTGTTCAATTGATGGATTAATTATTGTAAAATATTGATCATGTACTCTTTCCGATGCTTTCTTACTGCAGGCGACATTCTTGAATGCCTAATTTTTCACCCATTTTAAGGTATTATTATTATTAGATATATTTATTATTGTAATACATTAATTTATTTTGACCATTAATGTTCCATTATTTATTCTTTATTATGTTGATATTTTTTTAGTTTGACAATTCAGAAGTGGCATTTTTGAATGCCTGGTTTCTCACGGATTTTTAGTTGCTATATTATTATTATTATTATTATTATTATGAGTTGACATATTTATTATTGTGGCATATTGATTACTTTTGGCCTGGTTTCTCACGGATTTTTAGTTTCTATATTATTATTATTATTATGAGTTGACATATTTATTATTGTGGCACATTGATTGCTTTTGGCCACATAGTTTGTGTACTCTTCTTGGGGAGCAGCGGCGTAAAGTTAGGGAGCACTTTAGGATGGTTTTTCAGGGTTTACGGGTCCATTCCGCCCCCCACCCCCAAATCTTGCTATTTTCTTACCCAAAAAGATTTTATTTTGCACGGCTGTCAAAACCAAGAAATGTATTTATTGATACAGATGCAAAAGAATGAGATGTTTATACCTTTGGAAAGGCTCCGGTAGAGAATATTTTTAAACCCGCCAATAAATATTGCAAATTTCAAGATGTGTGTTTGGACCTCCTGGTCATTCGAATGGTGTCCGGAACCCTGTGATTCCCCAGTTGGTCACACCCTTTTGCCTATGACATCATCATTGGGGGATTAGCTACAGGCCCAAAGATAAGTGTGCCTGCAGTGCTCAGATGAAACCACAAGAGGGCAATATACAATCAGAAGGGATTAGCTACAGGCCCAAAGATAAGTGCGTCTGCAGTGCTCAGATGCAACCACAAGAGGACAATATACAAATAAAAGGGATTAGCTACAAGCCCAAAGGTGTGTCTGCAGTGCTCAGATGCAACCTCAAGAGGGCAATATACAGATAGAAAGGATTAGCAACTGGCCCAAAGGTGTGACTGTAGTGCTCAGATGCAACCATAAGAGGGCAATATACAAATAGAAGGGATTACCTGCTGGCCCAAAGGTGTGTCTGCAGTGCAGATACAACCACAAAAGGGCAACATACAGATAGAAAGGATTAGCTACTGGCCCAAAGGTGTGTCTGCAATGCCCAGATGCAACCACAAGAGGGCAACATACAGATAGAAAGGATTAGCAACTGGTCCTAAGATGCAACCACAAGAGGGCAATATACAAATAAAAGGGATTAGCTACAGGCCCAAAGATAAGTGTCTCTGCAGTGCTCAGATGCAAGCACAAGAGGGCAACATACAGATAGAAAGGATTAGCAACTGGCCCTAAGATGCAACCACAAGAGGGCAATATACAAATAGAAGGGATTAGCTACAGGCCCAAAGATAAGTGTCTCTGCAGTGCTCAGATGCAAGCACAAGAGGGCAACATACAGATAGAAAGGATTAGCAACTGGCCCTAAGATGCAACCACAAGAGGGCAATATACAAATAGAAGGGATTAGCTACAGGCCCAAAGATAAGTGTGTCTGCAGTGCTCAGATGCAACCACAAGAGGGCAATATACAAATAGAAGGGATTAGCTACAAGCCCTAAGGTGTGTCTGCAGTGCTCAGATGCAACCACAAGAGGTCAATATACAAATAGAAGGGGTTAGCTACAGGCCCAAAGATAGGTGCGTCTGCAGTGCCCAGATGCAACCACAAGAGGGCAACATACAGATAGAAAGGATTCGCTCCTGACCTATAGAAATATATGTATGTAGTGCTCAGATACAACCACAAGAGGGCAGTATATAGATATAAGAATTAGTTACTGGACTGTAGGGATGTATGTATGCAGTGCTCAGATGCAGCCATGAGTGCCTTAGCATTTATTAGAGTTTCCATAATAAATTCCATGAGATGTGCTGGTGTTTTATGACCTTGTCCTTTTGGAACCACCCTGACAAAACCCACCCCTTACACCCCGCAAAACAAAAGACAGGCATTTCTGAGGGTGGAAGGACTGTTTATTAATTCTACGCAATTTCATTCGATGTCACAGCTTGGTTTTCCGCAAATCCTCCCTCCCACTTCCGGGTCCAAAAGTGCGTCACAGTCTTCTGTCAATTACATTTTCTCATTTCCGCCGCCCCCCCCCCCCCGACTTAAGCAGAACTGAGGCAGAGTGTGAGAACGAAGCGGCCAACCGCCGTGAAAAAATAATACAAACTCTTCTTTTCAGCTATGTTACAGTTGGGGAAAAACAAACAAATACAGGAGACCAAATGTGGGGTGACAGAGGATTTTGGGTGACACTAGAAGGGGATATTGGGGATTTGGGTGGATGCCGAAGCCCCAAGAAGTTGAAAAGCACCAACGGGAAAGGACAAACCAACGTGGAACCGAAGTAGGACTTCTGTGCATTCTACTTCTATCCCTTGCAACACATACTACCATGCTTCAGTGCAGGGAAATAAGTGCAAATAAGTGTGAACTAAAAATAAATGCTATGCAGAACTTCCAAAGGTGAAATGAACACAAACAGAAAGTTTCGCAACTGGGTTTGAAAGAAGGAAGTGGGATTTGGAGAAGTCGAATCAAACGGAGACTGAATGCTTTCCCCGTTCTTTCACAAACGTACCGTTTGTATCTATCACCGGCGACTGCATCACATTTTTAGTGGTCCGGTTTCTCCTTGTCTATATAGACATCTAGCAGCTCAGGGAGGGGATTTGAGGACAAAACGGCATATGGATGTGACTCCAGAAAACTACACCATGTACTATGCACAGCATCCAAGGGTTGAAGGCCATTAATGGCTGCATCAAATGGCTCTGGAGACGGGGAGCAAAATCTTTGTCCTCGGGTTTTGGTTTCCCCTTGACATTAAACCTAGTTGAGTCTGACTCTGGCCATTTCTAAGCCAAAGAACTGCTGTTGTCCGTAGACACCTCCTAGGTCATGTGGTCAGCATGACTGCATGGAGCGCCGTTACCTTCCCGCCGAAGCGATACCTATTGATCTACTCACACTTGCATGTTTTTGAACTGCTAGTTTGGCAGAAGCTGGGGCTAACAGCAGGAGCTCACCCTGTCCCCCAGATTCGAACCGCCAACCTTCCAGGCAGCAAGTTCTGCAGCTTAGCAGTTTAACCCACTGAGAAGTATTCCGAAAACAAGTTGAGTTTAGTGTGACTTGGATGCTGGGCTAGGAAGAGCCTACGGTTCGGATCCCCAATGAAATCAATTTGGTAGGTCACACTCTCTCAGCCTCAGAGAGAAGTGAAGGCAAACCTGCACTGAACACATCTTGCCAAGAAAACTCTGGAATAGGTTCACTTTTAAACTGACCTCAAGTGCACGGTAGTTTAACTACATTTAGCAACAACTTTGGGGATGTTTTTATACATGTGTGTGCATATGTATTCTTCCAATTTCCCTTTTGTTGGAAACTTGAGTGTTTGGGTGTACTGTATCTGTTGGTGGCCTAGTATGGAAAACGATATCGAAACGAAAGGAAGGGATGGAAATGATAACATGAATGAGAAATAACAATTTACGGTTCCGTGCCAAAGACCTCAACCACCCCCTTGAATCGCATATTCTACAGGACACAGTGGAATGAGTGTGCCATTAACTCTGCAGCGTACCTTTTGGATCGAAATGAAGCTTGAAAAGGAGAGCCATTGGGAGAGGAGAAGCCAAGGGCAGGGAAGGGGTTACAGCCTCAAATGAACCCCCCCAAAAGCAGCGGAGACAGACTGCAAGGATGGCGGAAAGCTCGGACACATGGGCACAGAGAGACGGACAGGCGGACGCACGCTTCCAGGGCCATGCGCACACATGGACACACGGACACGCATACATGTGGACGGAATTTGCACCGGCAACGCGGACAAAGAACGTGTGTGCGAGTTCCCTGCGAACCCAAGGCACCGCTTTGGAGGATGAGGGTCTATACAGGACAGGGAAAGGGCCTGAACGTGTGAGAAAGAGAGACCCCCTCCTTTAATGCCCCCTTTCAATGCCGAAGCGGACGTGCTCAGCGGAAAAGCGTGCAAAAGGCGTTTGGGTTGGAGGGGCCAAAAGATGCCGCGCTCCTTCTGTCGGAAAGAAGGGGATGTCTATTTACACAAGCTGGGAATGTGTGGCACCCCCCACCCCTACCCCCGCACCCCATTTTGCCATTCCTGTGCAGGCCAGGCACAGAAGTGTCTCCCTTTGGGGCCGGAGACCTGCTCCGGCTGGTGAGCCTTAGGCAGCGGGAAGGGGGCCCAAAGGCTCTCATTCGGAGACTTCTGGGTGGACGCTCAACCCGCCGTCCGCCCGTCGGTGGGTCTCCCAGAAGGCCTGGTCCAGCTGCTCCAGTTGTGGACTGAGGGGCAGTGCCATGGCCAGGTGCATCCGGAGGGCCTCCAGCCACTGCTCCAGCCGGCAAAAAGAAGGCCTACAAAGGGAAGAGAAGGCAAGGCTTAGTTTAGGGCAGAGCTTCCCAATCTTGTCACACTCTTTGAGACTTGCATCCTTTCGTGCCACGGGAATTCAGCTTGACTGACTAACCAGAGGTTCGAACAACCCTTTGTAAGAATTGCTATATATATTACTGTTCATACAGGCAGTCCCCAAGTTACAAACATCCCCAATTTGCAAATGACTCCTAGTTAAGAATGGAGGCGAAACAATAGAAAGTGACAGGAACCTCCCAATGGGATTTTGGCCTGCATCAATAGGAGCATAGTGTCTAGATCTAGGGAAGTAATGCTACCCCTCTATTCTGCTTTGGTTAGACCACACCTGGAATATTGTGTCCAATTCTGGGCACCACAATTGAAGAGAGATATTGACAAGCTGGAATGTGTCCAGAGGAGGGCGACTAAAATGATCAAAGGGTCTGGAGAACAAGCCCTATGAGGAGCGGCTTAAGGAGCTGGGCATGTTTAGCCTGAAGAAGAGAAGCCTGAGAGGGGATATGATAGCCATGTATAAATATGTGAGAGGAAGCCACAGGGAGGAGGGAGCAAGCTTGTTTTCTGCTTCCCTGCAGACTAGGATGCAATGGAACAATGGCTTCAAACTACAAGAGAGGAGATTCCATCTGAACATGAGTAAGAACTTCCTGACTGTGAGAGCCGTTCAGCAGTGGAACTCTCTGCCCCGGAGTGTGGTGGAGGCTCCTTCTTTGGAAGCTTTTAAACAGAGGCTGGATGGCCATCTGTCAGGGGTGATTTGAATGCAATATTCCTGCTTCTTGGCAGGGGGTTGGACTGGATGGCCCAGGAGGTCTCTTCCAACTCTTTGATTCTATGATTCTGTGAACCTGCGCTTTGGAAGGGCAATCCATCATGAGGAAAAGGGGTCTCCAGTGAAGCTTTATCTCCAATCCTTCTTTCCATAACAAGCTGAGTTTTTCAAAATCCAATAATCACAGGGACAGAAAGTGAGATGAAATCAGGGCACAGACAGCAAAACAAGGACCACAGGGGTGTAAATCCTTCCCTATGTGATCCACAGCATGTCTATATATAGACCCTTACCGATGACCTAACAGCAGGTGGCTATATAAGGAGGATGAAAGAATCCATCTTTCTCTCTCCTGTGTGACTCAGTGTGTGACTCAGTGTGAGTATTATTATTATTATTATTATTATTATTATTAACTTTATTTATACCCCGCAAAATCTCCCGTAGGACTCGATGCGGCTTACAAAGGCCAAGGCCGTCAACAACAACAACATACAATATACAATAAACTCATAAGCAAATAATAAAACATCAAGCAAAACAATAAAACAATAACACCGTGACGCAATTTAAAACCAAGGACTGGGCCAATGTAATGGACACGTTAAAAAGTGCTGTCGTGACAGGTAATATGTAGAGGTATTTGGGTAGGTACAATGTGCAGATAATCCTAAATCTCTAGCAAGATGCTTGGGACTTGAAACCAAGAGTTTCCTATTCTGGAAAGGCACACTGGAACAGCCATGTCTTCAGGCGCTTCCTAAAAACAGCCAACGTTGGAGCTTGTCTAATGTCCTTGGGGAGCGAGTTCCAGAGTCGGGGGGCTACCACAGAGAAGGCCCTGTCCCTTGTCCCCACCAAACGCGCCTGCGACGAGGGTGGGATCGAGAGCAGGGCCTCACCAGAGTATCTGCCTATGTTGTAAGTGACTATTTGATGATGCAAGTACAAGGAAAGTGGATCTGCGTTTTCTGTTTGTACATTTTGTCTATATTGCAACTCTGAAGATTAAAGCCTCCGAGTTTACTAAACAGTGTGTAGATAAAGGTGATATGCTGGCAGTAGCACTCTGCTGATTTAAGGGTTGATGCATGTTTTGGCTGTGAAAGGATGCTGCTGTATTTTTGCCTGCTTCTGGAACACTTGCTATCTAGCTTGCAGCAGTTGAGGGAGGACGTGATTTGGAAACTATAAATCATCCTGTGACACACACACACATATATGGCTGGAGTTACTTTAAAAATTTACCTGTTCCAACTTACATACAAATTCAACTTAAGAACAAACTTACAGAACCAATCTTGTTCATGACACATACATATACCCATTTTTCAAGGCAATGCCCTCATGCTGAGATTCCTCGCCTTGGATGACCAGAGGTGGGCCTGAAATTCAAGGCCAGGACTACTCCTAGGCTTACCGTTTCTCCGGATCCAAGTCACAGCACCGGACAGCAATGGGGAAGAAGCTGGGAGGGCAATTAGGGGGGCAGTACCGGTCCAGGAAGCCCCGGACATTGAGGCCAAAGTCCAGGGTGCGAGGCAGGTAGTCGGGGTCCGCACTCACTCTCCCGATGATCTGTGCCAAGGGATGAAATGAATAGAGATCAGCGAGAAGCCCCTTAGCTGAGAACCAACATCTTCTGGATCACTGAAACGTATGGAATCTACTCTGTTTTTCAGTCTGAATCTTCAAGGAACTTTAAATGCATTGAGCCTCGGGAGTTAACCCATAGTATTGCACCATGGCTGTTTGAGTGGAGCTAAACGATTCATTCTACGGTACAGATGCATCCTTTCTCTTCCCCCCTCCTTTCCTCCCCTTCTATCATCCCACTTTCTCCACTTCTCAATCCCAATGACTCCTTGGCATTCTCCCAGTTCTCCCAACTTGCCTCACACAGGATGATGCCAAAGGAGAAGACGTCGACTTTCTCATCGTAGCTCCTGCCTAGAAGAGAAAAAGGAAGCCCATTGTCCACACCAAGAGCTGACTTGGTGGCCTTTGCTCTCTCTGGATTCATGGAGAATCAAAGAGGGGAGCACCGCCATTCATCCCAGCTCACCGTTGATCATCTCCGGAGCCATCCAGTATGGGTTGCCCACCACCGTGTAGCGTTTCCGGCGGTCCGGCTTCTTCAGACTGGCCAGCTGGTTCTTTTCATCCACCATGAGCCGAGCGAGGCCAAAATCTGCCACGACAACACTTTTGTTCTGTGGAACAGGGAGAACAGATCCCTGTTACTTGTGTCAGAGGCCCAGAATTGACTTGGTCAGTCCCAAATGGAGGAGACCTATTCGGCAAATCAGCAAGCCAAACTGGAGGCCAGTTGGGGACATTCTTAGGACACAGGCTTGTAGCTGGGTTCTAGGTTCTCCAATGAGAATTTGGGTGACTTTGTTTGAACCACTTCTTAGGCTTATCATGGAGGATTAAATGGGGAGGGGAACCATGCAAAACCCATTGAACTCAGGGAAGAAAAGAAGAAGGGCCCTTCTATAGACCAAAGACATTGCAACCACATACCTCTCGCACAAGGCAGTTGTGAGTGTTGAGATCCCGATGGATTATGTTCATAGAGTGAAGGTAAGCCTAGAAGGAGGGGAAAGCAAGGAGGAAGGAAGAGACAAGATGGGTTGGAAGATTGTGTTGCCAATGCAACTATTCCAGTCACCCTGTGTAGCACCTACATGTGAGGATGGTACTCAGGTAGCCCTAAACTATGTTGAGATGGCCCCTATGTAGGCCTTCAACTATGTTGAGATGGCCCCCATGTAGGCCTTCAACTATGTTGAGATGGTACCTATGTAGGCCTTCAACTATGTCAAAATGGTCAATATGTAGCCCCTTAACTATGTCAAGATAGGCCTTATGTAGCCTCTAAAGTACATAGAGATGATCAATATGTAGTTGTCAACTCAAGTCTGATTTTCAGAAAACTTACCATCCCTGATGCAATGTCTTTGGCGAAGCTGACCCTCTGAGTCCAAGGATACTGGCTATCCTGTAGACAGATATAGTATTGGTGAGTAATAAATGCTGAGAAGATCTGAAACCCTAGTAGGGTGAGGTTAGGAGTTAAGATTATGCAGGTCCTGAGATTTCAGGAACAATCTGGGACCTAGTATTTACTCCATGGAAACATATTCCTGGTCAAAGGAATATCATGTCAGTGATGTAGCATAATGTATTAAGCATCAACTACAGTTTCATATATGATGTCACAGAGATTAAAAAGATATATACAGTATGCCATTGGTTTTTATTGGGGTTTCAGGACTTCCTGTGAATATGGAAATCTGTGGATGACCAAGTCCCAGTATATGCAGTGATGTATGAAATCAGCACTTCTTATATAAAATCAAATTTTGCTTTTTGGGAATTTTTGAATATGTTCAAGCCATGGATAGCGGGAAATGTGGATGCCAGAATTATGGATATGGGGGGGGGGGGCAACTGTCCATACTTTCCAAAGCAGTGCTCTTGCCCTGGAGTGGATTCAATGCCCCACTGGAATGGCTAATGAAGTAATTTGGCTCTTCCTTGCCGTTTTGGCTTTGAAATATGACTCTGACACACTACGAGATTAGACCATGGGTACATCTTTGGGTCATTTCCATACTCACCATGTTCTTGATGATCCCCCGAAGTGTTCCCCCCTTGATGTATTCAGTGATGAAGTTCAGCCGCTTGTCTTTGTAAAGAACGCCGATGAACCTCAGCACATTGGGATGCTCCAGGCAACGCATTACCTTCACCTGGGGAGGTTCAAGCACCACAGAAGGTTAGCCAGTGAGTCACAGCTATGGTGGCATCAGACCATAATTTGAAATACATCTGAAGCTCAAATTGGTGAAGGAATGGGGGAGAGAGCCTGCTTTTGGCCAGCTGAAAACCCAGCTTCCTATTCAGTGTGATCTACCATGACCTCTTCTATAAATATATGGAAGAAGAACAGCTAGTTGCACAGTTCTAGCTATGTGAAAGGATTCATTCAGGGTACATCAAAAGCTGTTTGTTTTCAAGAGAAGAGAACCAGAATTTCAAGATAATCAATATTTTAGCCTCAAGGAGCAAAGAGAAACAAAGAAGTAAATGGGATAAGGACATTATTAGGGAGATGAGATGAGATACTATAGTGAGGAAGGGTGAAAGAAGATAACTGATGGAGTCTCCTTGTGGAGAGACAAAGTGGGGTATAAAGAAACGTCATCATGGTGGCTCACCTCCTTCAGGAACGTCCGTTGGGTCTCCTCGTCAAAGCGAATGAGCTCCTTCATCACCATGACCTCCCCTGTCTCTCGATGAGTCACCTGAAGGAGGAAGGAAGAAAGGGATGAGAAGAATCAGGGACACAGGGAGAGGAAGGGAAGTCAACCAATAGGCATTGGCCAGTCTGTTGAGATGGTGAACACCAACTGGGATGTACCTTGATGGCTTGACCAAAGCACCCTTTGCCCAAGACCTCGCCATGAATGAGGTCTGAGGGGCGGAAGATGCGGTGATGCCGGGAGACAACCCGGAGCGATTCGGAGCGGCCAATGTCCTTCCGTTGGGAGGCGGGGGACCCCAGGGTGCTGGAGCAAGGAGATTTGTCGATACTACAACTTCTCCTGAGAGGAAGAAGGAGAAGACATTAAAAATGTGGTCCTTTTTCTGATCCTATAGGATGAATCCAAGAAGGAGAAGGATAAGCTAGAAGGTATCCAGAAAAGGGCAACCAAAATGGTCCAAGGTCTGGAAGTAGAATGGATTCTAATTCTACTGCGTTTGGAGATGTGTCCCGTTGTACCCTACCCAACATATTTCAACTACATCCTTACATAATGGATCGCTGACGGATGGCTGCTGGATCTGGGCAAGGAGTCCGACTTGGTGAACGGAGAGGACTGCGCAGTTCTGACAAAGGGCTGCTCTCCAAAACCTCATGTGGGTCATGCTCAATGGTCAACTGCAGGAGCCGGCTGGTTTCCTGGATTAAGAGGTCGATCTGTGGGGAACAGAGAGGCTGGATGAGAAGACGCCATGGAAGCAGAAGAGCTTTGAGATGGGGATGTTAAATATCACACTGGTAGGAGGGAAGGGTTCATCCAAAACAAGATAACTTCTAATCTTACTATGGGGCAGACTTGCACAACATACAACACATGGGCCACATACAGCCCCTAAAGGATTTGAGGTGGCGCAAAGAGATTGACACTGTCACCAGTTGTACATGCAATCCTTGTAGTTCGTGGTAATTTCAATACTGGCCCCTTACTACTGCTGAGTTGTGCAGGCCTACCATAAAGGTAGCTGGCAGCTTCCATGTTGGTGGGGGAAATAACCTATTCCAGGTTTTCATTCTTGAAAAGAACTCTTCCAAGGATTAATGCTAGTCTCTTCAAATAGGTTTCATGCCTTGTAAAAGTCCCTGCCATAAATCCAGGAATAGATTAATAGCTACAGTGTTATAGGGTTGAGTATTAAAAAATAAATCAAAAGAAGACAGGAGATAAGTCACCTCATCAAGGGGAACATGCCGGATCGGAGTGCCGTTGATCTCCAAGATGCGGTCCCCAACATGGATGGAGTTCTTCATGTCAGGGCTGATACAGTCCGGGTCCAACCTGTATATGAGATAGTGAGGAATGAGGAAGATGAGGATGAATGACATTACGCATGGCATCAACTTCACTGCTGAGATTTAAATTTGACATCAGTTTGGGAGCCAACTCTACCAAACTTTATTTCTGGCCTCCAAGTTTACACCGAGAGCTAATTTATTGACTGTCTTTGCATTCCCATTTTCTTTAGTTACGTACACCTTCACTAAATGCCCATAGCTACATATCAGTGGATGCTTTGGGCTGCTTTCCATCTTCCGTACAAAAAGATCTCAATGTTCCTCTGGATCTACTTACTCCCGGACGCGTACGGTATGGGCATGCTCTGAACTGCTGTGTTGGTCGATAGAGATGGAGAAGCCCCGCTTGCCCTCGGAAGATGCTGGAATGGACACCAGGGTGACGGTGTGGGGGATGCGGGGGCCGGGAGACTCCGGAAGCAACTGGTCCATCACTGGTGTGACCACCGTCTGGTAATAGCAGCGGCCACTGCGACAGGGGATAGAAAGGTCACATGTCATGTCGAGTCCATGATAGATCACATGTGGAAGTGCAAGGAATCTGAATCATTCTGCACCTAGGAAGGTTTGGAGGCAACAGCTCTGACAGAATTGCGGGAAGGACCATCTAGTTGGACCTCCTGCCATGGAGAAATAAAACAACCAAAGCACTCCAGAATGATGCCCATCCAACCTCTATTGAAAGATCCCCAAAAGTAGGAGCATCCACCACTCTCTGAGGAAGCCAATCATCTAGTTGGAGAGGAACCCTCAGACCTCCACCATTCTACAAAGGTCCATCATCCACTAGAGTTGGATTGCAACCCAGTTCCTACAGACCCTCCAAGGAGGCCCATAATCCACTACAGTTGGAAGGTGCTCCCAAAGGTCATCTAGTCATCTTAGCTTTCCTTCCAGCTCACCAGTAAAGCTTGGACCTCTCCACCAGCGCATAGGTATCCCCATCCCCGATGAACGCCCTGCAATTGAGGCAGCTGAAGCATTCAGGGTGGTACTTCTGTTCTCCAGCCACCTAGAACAGAGACGGGAGGAAAGAGGTGAGCGGTATGCCTGTCCCAAGTGTGAGTCCTCCCCTGTGACATTTCCTGCACTTCTAATAGTGTCGAACTGGAAATCACTTTTATGCACAAATTTAATAAATTTGATACTTCTGATTTTGATCCAAAATTATGCACAAGCCTAATAATGACCCCGGTTGATTTCATGGTCATGCTTCTGTCTGGGTGGGTGACCCTGGGCAAGCCACACTCTCTCACAGCCCAGAGTCACATAGTGGATTTTCAGGTCCGAGCTTTCCGACTTGCGGTAACCATTTCCCAATTTGTTTTAACCCTAAGGTAATCTTTTCGACTGTGAAAAGGTCCCTTGACAAATTGGAAATGACTTGAAACAAAACAGCAGCTCTCTAGGACCCTGGAATAAATCTTCCCCCTTGGTTGGGTCGCTGTCATCTGCTCAAGATCCGTGTCTCGGCTTCCTTCTCCTTTTTCTGACTTCCCGTTGGGCCCTGTTGTTTCAAAACCAGCCCATTAAGATCTCCACTTTCTGCCCCCCAGGCACGCCATTGAAACACAAGTCTTGTGCCGAAAAGAACTCCTCTCCAAACGCTCTCCCAGAGAACTAACCCTTGTTCCCGTTACAGGCATCAGTCCAAACCTCTGCCAGGCAGGAAGGCATAATCAAAGCCCTCCCGACAGATGGTCATCCAACCTCCGGAGAAGGTGGCTCCAGCAGACTCCCAGGCAGCACATTCCACTATTGACTATCTCTGGCACTTAGGGCGTTCTTCCTAATGTTTAAATGGAGTAGTTTTTATTAAATTTGAATCCGTGGCTCTCTTCCTTACCATGACCAACCCTTTGGTGATCTGTTCGGAGCATCCGTGGCACATCTCCCCAAAATGGGCCCAGTAGTCCTTCTTGCAGTAAAGGCGGCCATCTTTCTCATAGTATTGGTGGGAGAGTGACGTCCCACATTCGCTGCACCTGGGGAAGGAAGGAAGGAAGGAAGGAAGGAAGGAAGGAAGGAAGGAAGGAAGGAAGGAAGGAAGGAAGGAAGGAAGGAGAGAGTCAGATAGGAAGCTGAATTTTGACATGGAAGCACACAAATGAAAAATAGGAAATCCCCACCAACTTCAAAAGTTTGGAGCACAGAAAGGAAAGGAGCAAAAGGCAAGCGACACTCGGGGATTTCACCAGAGCTTCCTGCCGATTTGGGGAATTTATAGTTTCAAAAGATCCTTCCCCTCCCTTTGACCTCCTTGCCCTCAAAAAGTCCCTTACAGTCATGCTCCAAATTCATTTCTCAGAATGACTCTGCTATTCTTATTGATGGCTGTGTGGTAGAATCCATTCCGGATTTAAGTCCAAACTTCAAAAGTTTGGGGTCCTGGAAAAAGAACTTTTCCTTATTCTGGTGTTTTACTGCAGGGGGAGGGTGTCTCCTGTCGGCAGGAGTAGAGAACCCATTTTGGATTTTAGTTTGAACTTTAAAAAAGCTGAACATAGCCTGAGGTCCCCAAAAGAAATCTTCTGGGATTTGTAGTTTGGCAAAGTGCCAAGTCAAGAAAAATCAAGGAACATGAGAAAAGAAAGAAATAAGATGAAATGCACGTATAATTTAAAAACTAAGGGTGCGTCTACATGGTAGAAGGAAAAGTTTAATTGCTATGGAGTCATGGGAGTTATAGTTTCAACTGGATGAGAATCTCTCAGGGATTGGACTAGATGACCTTCAGGGTCCCTTCTGTGCCCAAGCTTCCATGACTCCTTCTCTGGATTTCTTCCTGATGAAGCGCAACTTTATTTTAAGTCACAAAGGCGAATCCTTTGCACACCCTTTCCCCCACAATCTTTTGTAGAAGAGGAAGAAGCCACATGGGAGCCCATGGGAAGAAATAGCGTGACAGATTCACTTCCCATCCAGGTCTGAGGACCTCTTACGAAGCCCGCTTCCCACGCTGCATGGTGTGACATCGCAATTCTGACATGGACTATGGGGCAATGACGTTTCCCCATGAAAGTTGCAATCCTTTGAGGAAACCAAGCTAAAGAGGACAGATCTTGGAAATCAGGGTTCGAATTTCCCCTCTTAACATGAAACCCCACTACAGCAGCAACAAGACATCACCGTGCCACCTCCCCAATGTATTCCAACCCACCACAGAGAGTCATTCCCGTGTCGGAGGGGCAGGGAGTCCACTCTGGGTTTTGAAGAGCCTTCAAGGAATCCTCCAAGGTCTTGTGTTCTTTCCTTCGGTGGTTTATTCAACTTCCTTTTATGTATCTATCCATCCATCCATCCATCCATCTATCTGTTTATTCATCCATTCACCTGTCCATCTATCCATCCATCCATCCATGTATCTATGATTCACCTATCCATTCATCTATTCTTCCATCAATTCAACTTCTATCTATCCATCCATGTATCCATCTATCTATCTATCTATCTATCTATCTATCTATCTATCCATCCATTCATCTATCTGTTTATCCATCCACCTACCAGTCCATCCATGTATCTATGATCCACCTACCCACTCATCTATTCTTCCATCTATTCAACTTCTATCCATCCATGCATCCATCCATGTATCTATGATCCACCTACCCATTATCTATCTTTCCATCTATTTAACACCTACCTACCTACCTATCTATTAGGGCTGGGCAACCACGGAAAAATTTGTTTCTAAACTCGATTCATTTTTAGGGGGTTTTTGCGTTTGGTTTTTTAAAAAAATTCCGAAATTTTTCTTTAAAAAAGTTCGATATTTACGAAATGTCGGAAATTACGAAACAATTTCGAAACAATAAGGAATCGATTCGTTAATGGCGGACGCGATTGCGCAATATGCTAAAAAAAACCTCCAAATGGACAGGGGGAACTTCTGAAGCTTCCCTCTCCCTCTGTTGTTGACTGTTGGTGTGATAATTTATTTTTTTATCACTGATTAAACAAACAACAACTATAAAACTTGCCCCAGACATGCGGAAATAATAACGAAACAATTTCGAAATGAATTTTAAAAATTCGTTTCGATTTTTAGTTGCTCCTGAATGGTTCAATATCGCTTCGTTATCAAAAAAATAACAAATTAATAACGAATTACGAAATTAACGAACGAAACCGCCCAGCCCTACTATCTATCTATCTATCCATCCACCCACCCATCCATCCATCCATCATTTTATCCATCTAACTATCCATCCATCCATCCATGTATCTATGATCTACATACTTACTCATTCTTCCATCTATTCAATGTCTATGGTATCTATCAATCTACACATCTATCCATCCATCCATTCACATACTCATCCATCCATGAATGTATCTATTGATCCACCTATCAATTCATCCATCCTTTCAACTTCCATCTACCCATCTATGTATCTATCCATCCATCCATGGACCTCAAATCCAAAGCAGGAGCTGAAGACTTGCAATGAATATCCAGAATATTAGCCTTGGCTACAGCTTTGCCCAGTTATTTGGCGATTCTGCACAGCAGCAGAACCCTGAGACATCCCTGAATCTGAAATCAGAAGCAATTCCCATTTTCCCAGCCCTTCCGCAGAAGACCCGTCTCTGCCCTATTTGTTGGTATTGTCCTCCACCCCGATCTTTTTTCTAGGTTGGCATTCTCAAGTATCAGCCTCTTTTGGACAAAACAGTTGACCACCAGCGAAGGCGTAATTGGCTTGGTGTCCTGTGCTTTGTCAGGGCGGGCTCTATTTCCGATCCGGGTGTCAAATGGCCAGTCTCCCACGTCTCTCACTTCAAATGGGTGGCAAGATGCAAGCCCAGGGGAAATGAGCTACATTGGGTTGAAGCCAATTCCAGGTTTCGAAGGAACTTTCCAAGGTCTTGAAATGAGTTCAACACCTTGGAGAGCACCTTTCTAACATTGAACAAAACCTGCCCCAATGACATGGGAGTCAACAGCCAATTCTTCCAAATGGGCATGAAAGTAAAAACTGTTCAGTTGTTGGAGTCATAGAGTTGGAAGGGACCCCAAAGATCATCTAGTCCAACCCCTTTTTGCCAGGTGTAAAGACCCCATTCAAGCCCTCCTGACAGATGGCCATTTGTTCCAAGGAAAGCAATTTATTCCACTGCCAAACAATTCCCATTGCCAGACAATTCTTCCTAATGTTTCAGCAGAATTTCTTTCCGCAGCTGTCCTGCAGTTGAATTCAGGACAACATCAACAAAGCTGCTAAATCTCTGCAGCACTTAATATGAAAAAAATTCAAATCAACCCACGCCTGGCAGGCCCAAAGGGAAATCCTTGGGAATATGACAGATGGTAGATTGGGTCTCCTAAGTTTCAACTCCCCCATTTTTTGGTCATGGGGTTCCCAGCAGGAATAGCAGGGTTTCCCCATTGTCTGGAACCAGCCCACCACTGGGGCTCTCCATCTGGTCAACTGAAAAGCAGCCCTGGAAAGCTGCCATCCTGCGGGTGAAGCGAGAGCGGCCTGGGCTGGCATGACTCAGCTTGCCTGCATCACTCCTCTGCCGCATGACAAAAGCCTTGAGACACACGCACGCACACCTCCACGCAATCCTTGCCGTTCGTCACCTGCCAGGGAAAGGGCTTGGCATCTGCCACTGAAAGCCACGCATTGGGGCTGCATGCCGGCGCATTGTGTCCACACGCACAAGGCTTAGCTGCATGGCAGTCAGGGGAAGGCTGCCTTCTGGGTTGACCAAGGAAGAAAGAAAGGGAAAGAAGGAAAGAGAAGGCAAAGGGTTGCCCTCCAGATGTAAGTCGCCTTCTGGATGTGGAAGGAAAGAAGGAAAGAAGGAAAGAAGGAAAGAAGGAAAGGAAGGAAAGGAAGGAAGGAAGGAAGGAAGGAAGGAAGGAAGGAAGGAAGGAAGGAAGGAAGGAAGGAAGGAAGGAAGGAAGGTTGGTTGTAAGTTGCCTTCTGCTACAGAAGGGAGGAAGGTGGTTGTAAGTTGCCTTCTGGATGTGGAAGGAAAGAAGGAAAGAAGGAAGGAAGGAAGTTGCCTTCTGGGGTGCCCAAGAAAGAACAGAGGGAGGAAGAAGGGARATGGAATGCTCAAGGAAGGAAGGAAGGAAGGAAGGAAGGAAGGAAGGAAGGAAGGAAGGAAGGAAGGAAGGAAGGAAGGAAGGAAGAAAGAAGGGAGGGTAGGTTGGTAGGTTGTTGTAGGATGCCCAAGGAAGGAGGAAGGAAGAGTGCCTTCTGCAGCACCCAAGGAAACCTTCATTTTTGAGTGACTTCCTTCCCAACTTGTCGCTGGGCTGAGTGAGCCTTCAGGGGAAATTCGAACCCTGCTCATGCTCCAATGCTCAAACTCACTATGCCCGGCTGCCTTCCTAAGAAAGATTGAGCTCTATGGCTTTTCCCACACGAGGTGGAGAGATGAGTGCGCAGAGACACACGCTGCATCAGCCTTTCCCACAATGCCCCCTGCTTATCCCCCTTCCCTCCCTCTCTTCCTGGAGGAGGGGGGCATGGCCAGGAGCAGCAATGACATCACCAAGCCCCCACCCCCTCTGTGGGAGCCCCCCTCCCATGACATCACCTCTGCGGAACTTCCCTCTGTGGGTGGGAGGGGGGAGAAAGGGAGCAGCCAATCGGATCACTTGCCTTATTAACCCTTGCGGGCCCAATAGGTTCTTTCTTTCAACTCAATAATAATAATAATAATAATAATAAATTCAAAGACAGTTTGTAAAAAAAGCAGATGCTCGTTATATCCACCCGCCTGCATATATAAAAGTCAAGGTATGTATGGATGTCTGTTTTGGCTGCAATGGAGGCCAAGTGGGTTTAGTCCCTGGATTCGTTGGGACTGATTGACTAATTTCATTCAATTGATATATCTGTGATGATTTTTCTCCCCCAAAGCCAAATCAGAGAGGCTTCTGGGAACCATCCAGAGAGGGAAAACGGACCCATTCGATCGCATCAAGCCATTGATCCGTCTCGCACAAGAGTGGCCCTAAGGCCATATCCGGCAAACCATAGTGATTTGCCAGATATGCTGGATGAATCTCCCTGTTTGGAAACCATCAATTAATTCATAAGGGCAGGCTCATTGAAAACAACAGTTTTCCTCAATGCCTGCACCAGAGCATACTGGTGATATGTGGGAAGCCAAGGCTTGAGACGGGGACTTCAATCAGTGCTACGATTTGCTCCGACTTCAGCCTGTCCGCTCCGAGTTCCACTCCAAAGTCTAACCAATCCATCCCCAAAGATACACAGATGATGGGGACTTACTTGGCTCCGGCTGTCAGGAAACGGTTGCCCTTGAGCACAGCAGCCAGCATCCTTGCCGCGTTTGTTGGCCAACGGTGGCCCCGAATGTACAACCGGGGCCCCCTTGAAACCGAGATTCCAACAGTCCAGTGGAGAAGAAAGCAGAGCGAACGGTTCTGCTTCCCTTTCCCCAGCCTTAGCTCTGCAACTCTGGCTTAATTTAGCCGAGCCCAAGGCCTGCCTCCCCTCTTCCTCCGGCGCACCAGACAGGAAGCCATGCTGTAATCATAATGGAACAGCACTTCCTCTGCGGACGGAGGCACACAGCAGCTAATGCAATTGCCAGAAACCACTTGCGCATGAACATGTGGGCGACAGGACTATAGTGTCACCACCCCAATAAGCCCCAACATTGGTGGCCATTGAATCGGAACCCCATTAGGTCCCAGTGTTGGTAACCGAACAAGTCATAGAATTGGTGCTCTGATAGGCCATTGAATTGTATTCCATTGGCCACACAGTTGGCATCCCATAGCCATACAATGGTACCCAATAGGCCATACATTGGGAACCACATATATTTTAATACTAATTTATCTCTTATTTTAATGATGTTGTATCCCGCCTCGCGACACAGGGAGATGCAGGTAATACAATTATTATTATTATTGATATTATTATTATTATTATAGCTATAGAATGGTATCCAGTAGGTCACGCAGTTGATAAACCATAGCCATAGAATGGTACCCAATAGGCCATACGTTGGGACCGAAATGACTTTTTAAAATAGTGTGTTATTTCTTGTTTTAAGGAGGTCATATCCCGCCTTGAGCCACAAGAAGATGCAGGTAATACTACTACTACTATTACTACTACTACTACTGTTGTTGTTGTAATAGCCATAGATATACTGTATAAGTATATACCGTAAGCCACAGACTGGTACCTAATAGACCATACAGTTGGTGTCTCATAGGACATAGAGATGGCATCCCACACAGTCAGTATCCCATAGCCCATAGACTGGTATCCAATAGGCCATACAGTTGGTGTATCCAATAGCCCACACAGCTGGTATCTCATAAGGCATAGAGATGGCATCCCATACAGTTGGCACACCATAGGCCACAGACTGGTACCCAATAGGCCATACAGCTGGTATCTCATAAGGCATAGAGATGGCATCCCATACAGTTGGCACACCATAGGCCACAGACTGGTACCCAATAGGCCATACAGCTGGTATCTCATAAGGCATAGAGATGGCATCCCATACAGTTGAGACCCAATAGGGCACAGACTGTACTCAATAGATCATACAGTTGGTACCTCATAGGACATAGAGATGGCATTCCATACAGTTGGAACCCAATAGGCCATAGACCGGTAACCAATAGGTCATACAGTTGGTACCTCATAGGACATAGAGATGCCATTCCATACAGTTGAGACTCAATAGGCCACAGACTGTACTCAATAGGTCATACAGTTGGTGCCTCATAGGACATAGAGATGCCATTCCATACAGTTGGAACCCAATAGGCCACAGACTGTACTCAATAGGTCATACAGTTGGTGCCTCATAGGACATAGAAATGGCATCCCATACAGTTGGAACCCAATAGGCCAGTGAGTTGGTACCCAATAGGCTATACAGTTGGTACCTCATAGGGCATAGAGATATCATCCCATACAGGCCATCAAGTTCGGATGTCGATAGTCCATTGAGGGGGAAACCCTTTGGCCCCAGAGTTGGTATCTCACAGGCCTAGAGGTGGTTCACATCTTGCCAAGAAGACCCTAAAAGAGGGTCTCCATAAGTGATCGGAAGAGACAACAATGATGCCAAGTTCCGTCCGGAGACTCAAAATACAGCTAGCAAAGCCGGGCTGAAAAGGAGGCGGATGTTATCACAGGCAACGGGGATTGAGTCCTTCTGGCCAGTCCCTGGAGCCCAATCTACTGAGCGCGGGGGCGTGAGAGCCACATCTGGAGCAAGGGAAGGAGAGGACCAGATGGAGAACAGGCCGAGGGAGGGAGGGAGAGAGGCCGAGAAGGGAAAAGTCTTTGGAAAATGACTTACCGGAAGCAGTCCGCATGCCAGTCGGCGTTCAAGGCCTGCAAGTACTGGCCGTCGTAGATGCTGTGGCTGCAGCTGGCACATATCGGCAGGTCACTTCCTGCAGGAGAAAAGGGATAGAAAAC